AAAATATTGGCTTTAATATTAAACTTGAATTCTTGTGACGATGGAAAATATTTGATCAATATTATACTCAAATGAAACTGACACTGCAATTTCGGAACTACGAATAAAAGCAATTTGCAAAAGTGAATTTGGCGTAAGTATTCTGACCTCAGTTCTATCCAAGTCTTACTAACGAGACAGACGTCCGAACGAATAGTTACATGATATAATGGCCAACACATTTTCTGGCTTAAAACACTGGTACTTGTACTTGTTACTGCCCAAAAAAGACTAAAGGGGCACGGGATATTCTCCAAAAGGGCCCAAAGAATCAACCGATCTCTACAGTCAAATGGACTGTCTTAAAGCCCCTATCAGGGATTTGCAAGCCCGAAAAAACTTATCTGAAAATATATCTGTAGCAGCAAAATAAGTTTATGAACGTGTGTGCAAAAGTTCAGATCCAAAGTTCTTATGGGTTTTCTCTCTATGATTGAAAATGGAAGCTCTCATTTTGTACACAACAGATGGGGTGAATTAAACACTGCCAGTTGCAAAATTCGAGGGGGAAAAGGCCGGTAATTTTGCTAATAACGAATAATTTTAGTTTTCAATTATGATTTGTTTAAAACATAATATCACGACAGCTCCTTGATATCATTAGTGGAAGTGATTATTCTAAACGGGGAAACAAAAAGCCTTCTCATGCTTTGAGAGTAGGCAGCCTTCAGAACACCGTGGGAGGCGTATTAATCTTGATCCTATAAATAAAAAAGAAAATTTCTCAGATTATACAAGAAAAACACGTCCATCGCTTACGGGTAGCTCATGTAGGCATACAAGTATTGCGTGAGAGCCTAATCTTGCTATTTAAAAAAAAAACTTTAAAAAAAACGCTCTTCCCGATGTCGCTTTAGTAGAAAACAGCCGGAAAACGAAATTCAAGATTTATTTTCTAATTTTAATTAGGAAGCAAACGCATCCCATTGGTCAAGGGTGGGTGTTTTTTTGTTTAAACATAGCCTTCTTAAGTTATCATTACAGGGAGATGGTTATAAAACAATACTTATATCAGAATGAGGCTGCAGACGAAAACTGAAGAATGATTCTATTTGTAAAAACAAACGGAAGCAGCAGGGGTGGATTGTCTTACCAATAGCTTGATGAGCAGTTACCGGTATTCTGTGTGATTGTGATTTTGTAACTGTATGACCCAGAAATTATGTGAGTCAAACACATTTGTTCTTATTTCTTGACAGAAAAGATTGGTTACATACAGGGGTTGCGTAAAAAAGAAACGGAAGCAACATAAGAGGTATGTCTTACCAAAAGCTTGATAAGCAGTTACCGATAATCTGTGTGATTGTGATTTTGTAACTAAATGACCCAGAAATTATGAGAGTCAAACACATTTTTTCTTATTTCTTGAAAGAAAAGATTGGTTACATATACAGGGTTTGTGTAAAAAGCAGTGCAATGTTTAGATCTATAGGGCGCTTATGGTTGAACATGTTATTTAGAGTAAATCAAAGTCTAGGATATTATACTGAGAAGATTGTAGATACATTTAAAATATACATCACAGAGTCGCTAATGATGTGTTTGATTGAGTAAAACAGGGAGGGAAAAAAGAGCTCTTTTATTTTCAGTGGGATTTTATTGAAATTTACTCTGGTCTATTTTTTCTTCTTTTAGTGTTTGTCTACTTCAATTTCATCTTATATTTGTTTTTATTCATTTTCCTTTTAAATTACAATAATAATTGTTATTAATTTAGTATCATCATCATTTTTTTTTTTAAATATTTTTTTTAAATATTTTTTTAGGGCGGGGGGGGGGGGGGGGGGGGCTGGCTAATAAACAGACCAAGAGTTTGTGGAGGCATTTCTTATAAGACTATTGTGGGGGGGGGGGGTGGAGGAATGCATACCTGCCATCTCAAAAGGATTTCCGCCCATGCTATAATACCTTTGTCAAGAGATATATCTATTCAGAAGTTGTTAGTGATGACGATCATGAAAATTGTCGAACTACGATACTTCTTATCAATATCAATTTCAAATATAGAAGAAAACATTTTCATCCCGAGTATAGCTGAATGCTTGTCTCCTATCATTCACATTGACGTATATGAAAGCAGATTTCCCTTCTCAGTTTCATTGAAGAATTAACAACAAATAGAGCTTAGGGGGTTAATTATAGTAGCTTTGTATTATGATGACATCCAATGCCTATTCCCTTCCCTACTCGCTGATGCCCCAGTCGTGCAGAATAAAATACATTACGTAACATCGAACCGAAACCTACTCATTTGTAATTCTCCGACTGATAGCATATTGACGTAAGTAGGCGCGCCCGAATTAGTGTTTCTTAGAACGATAGAGAAGGAAGGGTTTCCAATTACTGCGTATGAGAAAAAATATGTAGTTTAATATAGAATAGAATAGAATACATGAATAAAACGAAAATAAAAATATTTTGATAGGACAAACTATGGAACGAGAGAGATAGAGAGAGAGAGAGAGAGAGAGAGAGAGAGAGAGAGAGGTAGAAAGAGAGACATACAGAGATAGAGAGATGGAGAGAGAGAGAGAGAGAGAGAGAGAGAGGGAGAGGTTTGGAGAGAGGGGAAGAAGGGGGAGGAAAACAGGCAGAGACAGAGACAGATAATTAGAGAGAGAGAGAGAGAGAGAGAGAGAGAGAGAAAACGACTACCACGCGCCCTCAATTGCGCTCGGTTGTTTTGCTCCCTCGCATTTCATTCACCAAAGCATCATGAATAAATCCAAACTAATCCAAGTGAATCCTGAATTCACTCAATCTAACGTGTTTTAAAAGAGGGATGACGCAGTTTCCATAGGTAATACATTGAGACGAATCCCAACAGGCGCGTACGCAGGATTTTTTCAAGGGGGGGGGGGGGGTGGGGGTGTTAACATTTTTAAATTGGGCCAAAACTCCACAAAACAAGATGATGTCCGACATAGCAGCAAGTACAGTAATGTTATAAAGATGATTAGTGGAAAGAATCGTCACTGGAAAAAGAAATGTGACTTTGTGATGCACACACCGGCGGAATAAACGTCAATTAAGTGCAAATATTAGGCATATCCACAAAACGAAATGATGCCCGACATAGCAGCAAACACATTAATGTAATGTAAGATGATAATTAAAAATACCATGAATCGTCACAGGAGAAAGAAATGTGACTCTGTGATGCACGCATCGAAGGAATAAACGATGATCTATTTATTAGATAATTTATGTTTTGTAAAGTGGTCGATTGATATTAGCATATCCCGGATGCTTTGTCCCTGGGAGGAGCCGCAACCTTTCCCATAATGTTTTCCCGAAGGCGTAGCCAAGGTGTCCGCCCCTGTTTCCGCCGATGATTAATACTTTTGAATATAATGAGAGAATGCATTAAAGGGATCGTTTAACAATGTTAAATCTGAGATACACGACCCTACGTGTTATCAGTGTCTGTGATATGGTGTAGTATTGAAGCCCTAAAAAAAATTGCGCTTCAAAATGATCAAGAAGTGCCTCAAAAAAGTAAAAATCTTTGAGTGACCGGTTTTACCATACTCGTTTTCCCCAATAGACTGTAGTGTTATGAAAACCGTCAGGCGAACGGTTTTCAAAATTTGTAATTCCAATCATAAATATCTTGATAATCAGACAGGCGATCGGCTTGTAAAAGTCATGGGGTTCCTGACTGACTTAAAGGTTTATAATTATCATTGCATCATGACCTAAATCAAGAATTTTGTTTCAGAATCTGAGCCAAAGTTACCAGATCCCTTTAAACATTGGCGTAGATAGAGGGAGGTACGGGGCTCGACATCCCTCCTAACCGAGTGGAGAAAAAATAACCAAAAGAAACCAAAAGCGGTATAGCGAGAAAGGGAAAGGTAGATGGAGCAAAGGACGGGGAAAGAGGTTAACTGGACTACCTCCTGCACCTCCTCATCGGTAGGCTTCAATATTAAATTTTTGGAGTAAGACCGGTGCTGCCTCAACCTAGTGGTCCTAGTGCAGCCCCAGTGAGTGACCCCACGCTAGGCTATTGACATCGAACCTAATGAGTCATGGGAAGATAATAATGAGATATTTCTTTAATCCTCGGACCTTCCTTTTGAGACACGTTTGTGCTAGATTTCACACCGTCCAATGAGTATCTGCTTGTATCGACGGAACAGGTCTATTTCCGGATAACTCATCGCACTTTCGTCTCCCTTATGCGGCTCTTTTCCTCCGCAACCACCATCCCCTTCCTCTTGATTTTCTGAATGATTCCCTTAATTTGTTTTCCGATATTAAAGCAAATTTTAGTCCATCCGGGATTACAGGTTTTTTTTTAAAGAACAATGGAGATGATCCGATTTCAAGCATTTGTGCCCACTATTTATTTCTTCTTCCTGGCACCCCGCCTCAAATACTCCTACGATTCCCGTGTTTGTTTCTCTGTCCCTGTCTGTCTGTCGGTCTGCCTATCTCCCTCCCCTCCCCTGTTTCCCCTCCTTTTCCCTTTTTTCTCCCTGTCTCTCGATCCCCTTCCTCCTTGTATAGCTTCCTCCCTAGCTTCCTCCCTAGCTTCCTCCCCAGCTTCCTCCCCCTCTTCCTCTCTATCCCCCTCTACCCCCCCCCCAACCATCTCTCTTTCTCTCTCTCTCTCTCTCTCTCTCTCTCTCTCTCTCTCTCACCCTCTCTCTCACCCTCTCTCTCCCTAACCCTTTATCTTTCCAGTTCCATCAGTATCATATCGTGGGCCGCAGAATATTGATTTTGCTCACCCTCATCACCCCCTCTCCCTCCCTTTCTCTCTCTCTCTCTCTCTCTCTCTCTCTCTCTCTCTCTCTATCTCTCCCCTCTCTCTCTCTTTCTCTCCCCCTCTCGCTCTTCCTCTCTTTCTCTCTCTCTCTTTCTCTCTCTCTCTCTCTCTCTCTATCTACTCCTCTCCTTTTACCTCTCTCATTCTATCTCTGTAATCCCCTCGATAAGTAGCTTCATGTCATGCGCAGAACAGGGATTGGCCGGCTTCCTACCCTCTCATCCTCATATAAACCATCCCCTCACCCTCATCCAGCTCACTCTCCATCTACCTCAGATCCAAGCAAGACGCTCACGTTAACAAGCGATACAAAACGTCTCTCCAGAACGCCCTTCATTTTGTCGTCTTTGAGGGCAATAAGGCATGAACCAGCAATTAATGTAACTTATTTCAGAGCTCATTGACGTCGACTTTGTATTGATATCGCGGTTGAAGCAAGAGATCATATTTTGTTCGTCGCCTGTTGTTTGTCGATTGGTTGTAACTCTTGCCTTCTTCAGATCTTCAAAGCAACGGGTAACTCCGAATCGGTGAGTAGGCCTATGCATTTTCTTACAACACATGGATTAAGAACAATTAGAACTTGTTGCGATGCTGTAGGACATTTCCTTTTTATCAATATCAGTTTGCCAACATTTTGAAATTACTTCAAATAGTATTGATTTCTTTAAGAACATATTTCACAGGCGATTTCTAACTACCTGCGAAGACCTCATAAAGCACGATTATTTTTTAAAGGAAATTGTATTTTATTCTTGTGTACCTGCCGTATAGGCCTATTCGTGATTTTTCAAAACAACTGTATAATCAATTTACTTGTAACCTACTATCGACTGTGCATGCTCACAATACACGCGACTCATAACAAAAGGTAACAAAAGTATTAATTTAGAGACGAATAAGATATTTTACGTGTTGATGATGTAATGTAGTATGGCTACTATAGCTTTTCGTATATAATATTTGCATTCATGGCGACGCTATTTGATGAATCATTATGGACGCGTAGGAAGAAAGAAAAAAAATCACGTTTTGTAGTTTGGAACTTTGCTTTTAGCATTTTTAAGGCCACTTTTAGTCACAAAGACAAAAAAAAAGAAAAAAAGTCTGACCTTATTATTTATTTCTTCTCTCCTCTCTAACATGTTTAATGCGGGTAAGCATCGTTAAATCATCATTCATATTTTTCAAAATTCGGGGTAAATTTAAACTCCACTCCTGTTATATCGCTATAGGGGCTAATCATGATTATAGTAGAGGTCCCTATACCCTCTTGTAGGATAATCATGATTAAACGAACATTTCTTGCATTCAATATAATGTTTATTATGCATATTGGGTTACAAAGAGAAGTCAGCAATGATGTTTTATTAGACGACCTCCTGTAATAATGAAAAATGAATTTTGTGAGGTTTTCTTTGAGAGGGCATGCTGACTTTCTACATTAAATTGTCATCGGTAGGAGGATAGACCCCCGAAAGACAAAACGTACCTGTAGGGCTACGCGGCATATATTGATGGAACCAACTGAGTAGTTACGAAAGAAAATTTCTTTATTTTTCATGTCTCTCTTTCCACTTCTATTTCTTTTTCTGGAACTCCTTTTTTTTTGGGGGGGGGGGGGGTCGGCAGCCCCAAGCCCTCCCTCACACATACACTCCCGTATACACCACAGAATTATAATTCTGTGGTATACACTCGTGATATACGGATGACTTTCATTCGAATAACATCATAGTTATGAATGATCAAATTGCTTTTTGGAAGTCCTACTTTATAAGTTGTGATGATTAAAACGTACAATCATAGCGTCAAGTATGTGTGTGTGCGCGCGTATGTGAGGTTGTGTGCGTGTGGGCGGGTGTGTGCGTGACATGCGTGTGGGCTATTTGATAGAATACACATACCGCGGTCATTGCTCTGCGGCCTTTACTTACAAAGATTGACCATACAGCTTATGCAGACAAGCGCCTGTTGGGATTAATAGAGGGACTATCTCTCGGATTATCTGGTGTTAAGTGGTGTAATCGGATTAAGCATATTATTTCCAACAAGTTGAAAGAAATGAAGAGAAACGAAATAGACAAAATATTAAAACAGGCAAAGAAACTGAAAAGATATTGAACGCAATCGCAAAGCAATGACCATCATCATCAACTTCATCATTACCATCATCATCATCATCATCATCAACAGTATCATCATCATCATCATACCATCATCATCATCACCACCATTATCATCACCATCATCGTCATCACTACCATTATCATCATCATCAACATTATCATCATTATCATCAACATTATCATCATCATTGTCATCATCATTAAAACAAATCAGCTTATTAGGGCAATTAAAAACCCTGCAGCTGTTTCTACCACAGTAATAATGTTCAGATTACATAATAACACTTATATGTCATTGAATGTAACCAAATTTATACCAAAGCGTCTCAATATAAATTATTTCATTTACCAGTTACGGATAATTGTATTTATATAGTTAGTATGCATATTGCATATCAAAACAAGTTCTTAGGTAGGGCAAGCCATAATGTTTGTCCTGATTATCAACAACTAATTTATGCAATTTGATTTCTGACTTTTGAGATACAATTATTCGTAACAGGTGAACGGAATCATTTATAACGAGGCACTTAACAAAGATTTGTGCATTAAATTTGATTACATTATGGAAGTGGTTTATTGTGCCATGAGACATGACACGTAATTATTCAATCCTGTTCGTAATGTTGACGACTCAAGATTCTCTTTAAAAAAAATTGTTATTTCCGTTTGCTTTTCCACATCGAATGGGTTCAAAAGGAGTTATTACTTCTCATCAACATTCCGAAACGAAAAGGAAAGAGGAAGTCGCAAAGGTTAAGTCAAAGTCTTTATAAGTGTAGGCCTACTTTATACTTGTATTCATTAACAAAAACTGGGTCAATTGTCAAACCACAGATTGAACATTTTACTTTCTACTTAGAACTTTTGTCCAGCTGCACGCGAAAGGTTTCAGCCCCCCTGTGGTTCGCCATTGTATTAGTATCCACTTACAACAATGAGAGCGACACGATACTGACCACAGACCAAACCAAAGATTTACATGATTCCGAATTGATATAAAGGCTGGTCGCATTTCATTGATACAAAGAAGATCGGTTTATCTAGACAAATTATGGCTGTCATCGATTTGTACTTACAAGACAACTTGAAGGGAAATTTCCAAACGCGGTAAATCAATCGAAAAGCATTTTACATCACCGATTGAAGTTTGAAACATTACATACGCCCACGGCTAATGACGCATTAATTATTGCTTTATCCGAGCACTATACGATTGGGTATTGAGATTCCCTTGAGTTAATTTCTAAGTCTTCCCGACCTTGGTTTTTATTTATTTATTTATTTTATTTATATATTTCTAATCTTTTCTTAGGGTAGCCCATTCACCAATAAGTAGTTGTCTTCCATGCGGCCATGCATAAACGTGAACATATTTACATCAATAAGCATAATGTTTAAAAAGATAACATTCCATAGTACATTTTAAAAAGATATACACCCTTTTCCCCAAGATGACTCGTTTTGGAAAACAATTTAGCAAGTCTTTCCATAAAATTGCCAATATATTATATATCATGCGTTTTCGTGTGCAATAATCGTACAATCATTGCCTCATGACAATGACTTTATAAAAGATGAATGAATTTATTTCTTGATTGGGAATCATAGGGCGTCAGGAGGGGCAAGTTATTTCCCCCTCCCCACCTTGTCCCTCATTCAGTGGGTTTAACCAAAAGGATGTGTCATTTGATTTGATTTGATTTGATTTGATTTATTGATTTCTCCATTTTTTTTTTCATCATACATTTTCATGAACATAATAGGGTTTGATACAATATATCAAGTGTATATAATTATATACGGTGTGTTGGCTCAATCAGTAGAGCGTCCGCCTCACAACCGGGAGGTCGTGGGTTCGAACCCCGGCCGCGTCATATTTAAAGACGTTAAAAGACTGGAGTTGCTGCTACCTTGTTTGGCGTTTAACAATAAGGGATAGAGCAACGTCGATCTGGTGTTTGTCAGTGGCTGCCGGGCTCACGATCAATTGGGCAAAAAGAATTTACATTTTCGGTTTAACTTCATAAAATTTGGAGTGGACTTTAAAAGATTATTTTTATTATTTGTTATTATTATTAATACACGAAATCAACTAAATATATTGAATGCATAATTAACATACATTATATGCAGGAGGGCTACATAATAAGCGAAGTAGCTTGACGTGCCCGCATCCCTCAACTTATATACAACAATAAAAATAAAGTTTAGAGTGACTTGCAGAGAAGAAAAAGAAAGATTAGAGAAGGGGCGTTGGTTTTCTGGTAATACAATACATCTAATACATCTGCTGAGTGAATGAAGGTTCATTCATGGATGGATAAACGATGCTAGGAAAACAAATACAAAAACAAAATATATTCTACAAAGGAAAAAATATTCAGTAATCTGTAAATTCCAAGCCTTAGCATTCTAACCTCAAAACACTTTCACTTTCTCCGTGTTTGATAAAAGAACGATTTTGAATGATTCACCCGGGACGAAGGATGTTTGTTGAGTCTTTGTTCTTCCAAGTTTTGGATGCGATCCTAACCCAGTTTCTCCCGGTCATTCACTTTATAGTGATGTTAATTGGGATGCGATCTTAACCTAGTTTAGGCAACTTATGCGTCATTAATTATTGTCTTGGGGATGAGCTTAAAGCATCTGGTCATTAAGTAGGCCTACCAGCAGAGGAATCGGTGCGACCACGTCACTGTAGTAGCGATAGGAACAATCTCTCTTCATTAAACAGATATAGGTGCGTTTTTTATTTGGGGGAGGGGGTGGAGGGTGGTAATAAAAAATGATGATAAGGGCCGTAGCTAGAGTTTGATGTTTGGGGGGCACGCACATGTAATTGATCGACGTCCTGGGGAGGGGTCTAAAAAGTTCAACCGATCTTGGACATTTTGGGGGGACACGTGCCCCACTCCCCCCCCCCCCCCGTGGCTACGTGCCTGATGATGATGATAAGAATAACAATAATAAGGAGAAGAAGGAGGAGAAAAAGAAGAACGATAGTAACGATGATTATAATAATAACAATAATGGTAATAATGACAATAATAATAATAATAATAATAATAATAATAATAATAATGATAATAATAATAATAATGATGACAATGATGATAATGATAATAATGATGATAATAATAATTACTGCTTATTCTAAAGCACTTAACCAGTCTTTATTCGACTGAAGCGCTTACAGTATTAACATTGTTTTTTTGTTTTGGTATTGGCAATATCATCTCCTTTATTATCGAACCAAAATATTCCAAATGATAGCTTTAGTTATTTCTAATTTTATCTGTAACATGTTAAGATAAACAATCATAATTATTGTATTGGTGACATGCAATGTTCTCCATTTCCGCAACACGTGATGCGAAAGAAAATGCGATCTTTCTCACGGCATATTCTATCTCATCCAATACGTATTTTGTTATGCTTAATTTCAGTTTTTGTAATAGAAATTTTTGTATAGCAATTGTTAAATACTTTCTCATCTCTTTCGCTCAAACGACTTCCATTTTTTTTCTTCCATTCTCTCCTTTCCACCGTCTTGGTCTTTCAACATGAAAGTGTATTATTACATTAAACTTATAACTTTGTTTTGCAATTTCGATTTCATCTTACCAAAGCTAAATAATTTCTGCAAAAGTTGACTTACAATATGTATTTTAGTTTTGTATATGTTTATATCTCTCTATATGTTTAACTTGTATGTAAATTGAAAATGTTCAGCCTGCAAGCTGCTTGTTCAATGTGATTTTTCAATAAACCAAACCAATTCAATTCAATTCAATCATGACCTTCATTCATTCCTTTCTTGTAACTAGACAAGGTGAGCATCACACAACTTCCAAGATCATCGACGTCCTACTCTGTCACCTAGCCGGTCATCATTCGATCACGAACGTGTTAGTGTTCGAGGTCGTATAGTCGACGTTCATCCTCCTCCTCATCATGTCCTTGCGAAGGAAAGAATCAAGACGAGGTGAACAGAAGCGCCTTGCCAACATGAACCACGCCAACAGCTTCGATGCAGCGGTAGGATTGATTTTTTTCTTTTAAAGCCCCGCTGCACTACTTATAGCTACTTGGGCCATCTTTATATCAAACAATGCATAATCGGTGCCTGTTGGTCCCCATGATCCCCCTTTTTTAATGTTAATTGAGAGCTGATTTGATGAGATAACCACCTGTCAGTGACCTTGCAGGGAGATTCCTCCTGGCTAAACTAGTGCAGAAGGTTGAGTTCTGGGAAGAGGTGAAAAAAAAAAACTGTGACCGATCACTGTATTATGCAAATGTGGAAGAACATCAGATACAAAATGTTCCCTGAAAAGCATGGCTCTTCAAATTCCTTAATATTCTAAATATGGCATGTAACATCATATAAATTAAAATCGCCCCTTTTATCCCCTCATGTCTTTGACTACAGGCAAATTTAAAAGTTTGAAGCTGTTTTTTTCATAATTTGAAGAAAAAAAGTTGTTTTTCGCCTTTCAGACAAACTTGGAAACGACTTTTAACTTTTGTTTGTATCTGGTGTTGGTATTGTTAGGATCGTCGTGCCTTGTTAAGACGGATGTCTTCCTCTGATGTCCTCACTAACGCTCCTATGATCTTCTCCATCAAGAATGAATTGGGGAATCTGGCAAAGGTTCTAAAACTCTTCAAGGTAAGAAAGAATTCCTCATCTCTCTTCTTTTTTTCTTTCATCTTCTAAGTTCTTTTTCTTCTTCTGCCCCTCCTCCTTCTCCCCCTTCTTCTTTTTTTTTCTACTTACGTTTCTTTTTCTTCTTCCGATCTTAAGTTCTTCTTTTTCTTCTTCTTCTTCTTCTTCTTCTTCTTCTTCTTCTTCTTCTTCTTCTTCTTCGTCTTCTACTATCATACCCCTTTGACTCACTTTATCCCTTTCTTCCCTTCTCTTGTCAGCATCTAGTTGAATTGTATAAATATTTTAATCGTACCCAACACGGTTCTTTATTTCGCATATCCAACACAATGGTGTGGCACTATGCATGCTACTCAAGAAAAGAAGAAGGTGACGAAAAAAAAATCATCGTTACTTTGAAACAAGTTTCATAGACAGAAAAATTCGTCTGCTTGAAGGAGTTTTTTAAACATAATTATGTTGTCTTTTGACGCTCTCCAATTCGGTGACGCCAGATGTAGTCTTAGACAAACATATCCCAGAACGAAATAGTCTGGTTTTCGTTCTATTAATTTCATTGACTATTTCAAGACCTCTTTTTTAAATCAATAGTCAAGAATTAAGGTACTTGTTAGTGGATCCCCCCATTTCCTCAGAAATTGAGAATTTCTTTTGATAATTTTATTATGTGTACAGTGTATTTGTATAGTTACCAAGAATAGGTGAATTATGTGCCTACTTTTCGTTCATACTTTCTGTAATGATATATGTAATACCTTTGTTTATCACGGTTGGAAATGAAATAAAAATGAATTGGATTGAATTGAATACAGGAAAATGACATCCGGGTCCTTCATATCGAGTCGAGAAAGGCTCACATGAGCTCGGAGCTGGAGATCTTTGTCGATTGCGAGGGAAAGAAGAAGATGCTCAAGAACGTCATGGATTTTATGAAGGACGCCATGTTACTGACCGAGGTTATGACCCCGTCTTCCAGCACCTCGGCCCACAAGAAAGACGCCGAGAATAATGGTGAGTGCATGATTCGTACCCAATCGCAATCAAACTCGTTTCATTTGTTTTTTATGAAGCCCAATATTTGATAAACTAACGTACCTTCTACGCTAACACACTTTTTCTGAATACCATCAAATGTCATTTATTTTAATCTGTAGAATATATTAAAGTTAATTATTTTTGAAAGACAAATAAATCTTCTTCTTTTGCAATCAATGTTTTGTTATAAACAGCACCTCCTGCGTTGAAACATAGCAGATCTAGCACGATAGTGAGTCATTTAAATAATTTTCTGGCCATGGCATTAATAGGAAAAACAAGAAACGACCTGCAGATATGATTACAGCGACAAACATGTAAAATATAAAGTTTAGAGACACAAGGCTTTCAAAGCAGTAAAGTATATTTATAGCTATTTTCTTTTGTTTTATTCAAGCAGCAGAATGGAAAAATAAAGTGCCCGATTTCCCCCGCAAAATATCAGAATTGGATAAAAGCGCGAATAGAGTGCTGACATACGGAGAAGAGTTAGACGCAGATCACCCGGTAAGAATCATTTTTTTCTTCAATCATATTTCCTTTTTTTTATTTTAAGTATAAGTCTAAGTCTTCCTAATAATTAATCAAAGTCTCAGTACTTAGATTTCATGTTTCGCATGAAAAATATCATAATTCTCATCATGAATACATGATTTCGAGATTTGATGTAAGTCTTTCTAATATTTAATGTATGGCACCGTTCTTAACATGCTATTAATATTCGAATTAATCCTGATCTCCCTTTATAGTCTCCGGCTTTTATTGTTCTTATCATCATTTTCACTATCGTCAACATTCCCTCTTTCTCTCGGCGTACTTCGACTTATCGGGTAATCTCGTCGGGTCGGGTGGTCGCGTTACCAGACCTTTTGTGAAAACAAGCCCCTCTATTCACGAAATGTCAGTGGTAATGTTTTTGTGAAATAAACCCCTCTCATCTACAAATGGTCTGGTCATCTTCCGCTTTCATTTCACGAAAGGTCGTGTAACGCGACCACCCAACCGGACGCGATTACCCGATGATTCGAAGTAAGCTCTTTCTCTCCACCATTCTCTTCCCTGAAATATTTTCCACAGGGCGGCCACAATTTAAATTCTTATGTTCACACTGTGAAATATTTATCACAGAGTGGCCACACTGTCAATGTTATAGTCCACAATGTGAACTATTTTCAACAGGAGGGCAACACTGTGAATTCTATTTTTCACACTGAAGTATTTTTTATAGAGTGGCCACATTGTGAAATTTACTGTTCACACTGTAAAATGTATGTCGTAACGTAATCACACTGTGAAAGTCTGGTTTCACAGTGTGGAATATTTTTCACAATTTGGCCACAAATTGGCCACTGTGAAATCATTTTCATATTGTGAACGCTATGTGGTTTACCACATTGTGGCGGTGTCCACACTGTGAAAAGACTCTGTTCACAATGTGGACTGTGTATTCACACTGTGTTTCACACTATGAATGAGTGTGAATGAGTGTGTTCTTTCCAGCAGGGTTCCTCATCCCCTCTTTCCGTCTTACCTTCTTCCTACTGCCACACTTCTCCTCTTCATCACCAGTCCCCTTTTTCTTCGTATAAATCTTATATATAATAATATTCGTCTTCATTCCACGTGTGTCTCTTTCGAACGCTTTCTTCCTCATTTTGAAATGTATCTTTTTTCTTTTTTTCTTTTAGGGTTTCACAGACAAGGAATACAGGCAACGGCGGAAAGTCTTCGCAGATATCGCATACAATTACAAACAGTTAGTACACAATAGTTATTATAGACAGAATATATTCATTGTATTTGGTGCTACTTAATTGATGCATTTTCTTTCGGAAAATCAAATGGCAAACTTGACAGCTACAAAACTGTTAAAATTGTCCTGATCCAGCACTCCCCCTTCTCAATAATGCAATACAACATTCACTGCGTCAACACGAGTCTATTTATTTCCGCCGTTATTTTTACACTTCGATGAAATAGTGTAAGTCGAATAGATTAATTCTTTTGCTTTATTTGCTGTATGGCCCAATTAAATTAGCCATTGAGCACACTGACTAAACGCTGTGATAAACATAATTGCAATTGGAGTCAGTCAAGTCATGTACAAGCGGCAATATTCAAACTTTCAAAGCCATACTTAAAACCCACCTACAACTATACGTTTCTCTTTTTAGAGTTCAACTTTTAGTTCATTGACTTCATACATTTCATATTGATAACATGTGAAGCCTTTTAATCGAAACTATTTTGTAGGTTCATTGATCATCTGTCAGGGTAGATAAAGAAAGAAAATTATTTTACAGCTTCATGACGTCAACATTAATCTTGTTTCACTGAAAGAAATATTTTAAGCTCAATTTCTTGTTTATATATTTTTTATTTTGGTGACAAAAAGTACGTGTACGAATTTGTATGGCATCTTTTACTCCGTTTTTAATTCGTTTCGTTCATTCGTGAAGCATTTTAATTGGTCCGTCCTGACCCGAACTCTTCTTCCATTACGTGTTTTGATTGGCTGTTACCCTTGGTTACGTTATGACGTCATTCATAATCTTGTATTTCACGATGAAAGAAGGAGACACTGAATGAAACAACAACATTGAGGAAAATATATGTTGATGTTTCTCGTGACCACAATGGATGTTAAATCCTTGAAGTATATTTTTGAAACACTAACAAATATTGGTGTCGTGGTCATGTCCACTGGCAAGACATTAATCAGACGATGTTAATAGGTACCTGGCAGCAAATAATTCCTTTCCATGATAAAACCGGGGTAATTATTGCGCAGCGCCAGGAGTGTCATGTCTGACATAGACATGAGCGCTATACAAGAACCGACTATTATCATTGTTTTTAAGCTTATTTTTGTATTCTAGAGTTAGTGAAGAACCATTTTTTCTGACGTATCTTGACCATGTTTACATTCAATTTAATTTATTTCGATTTTGAATTTATGATTGTGTTGGAAAGGAGATAACGTATCCAATGATGACATAGACGATGTAATTAGTATATACGTTGGCGTAGCGCAATTCCAGCCCTGAGGGGGCACGTACATCATGAATGTATGGGAGGGAGGGGGCTGTCTTACAGGAGAAATTAAATGTACAAGGCGACAGTCTAAGAAGGAGGGTGTGCTATGTGACCTTTTCATCTTTTTTTGTTCGTCCTTTCCTTTTTTCATATCCCTTTCTCCCCCTATCTTTTGCTTTATCTGTTATAATTATTTTGTAATTCGATGGGAGGGAGGGAGGGAGTGTGCCCCTGGACCCCCTAGCCTATACCTCCGTTACTGGGTAAATACACGGGTAGATAACTCTTTTCACACATGGGCAAAAACGACCGGTCCGCCATTTACATACATGATATAGTTCGAATCAATAATTTTCACTTCGTACACAAGTTCGTGTCGTAATTAGTCCCTCTGCGAGCCTATTATCATGAGAACGGTAGGCTTATTGAAATATAGACTATGTAATTAAGCAAGTGAGGACGTTTCTATGCCAATATTTAAGAACCTACGAGAGTATAGCACCCCCATTACATTTAAAGCGTTCCTTGGGGAATTTCTTATAGTTGTTTAACAACCTTCCGGCATCTCCTAATATCATTTTAATTATATGCATACAACCTACTTAAACAGAAACACAGCATCTATATCCAACAACAACAAAATCATACAATACACACAAAAAAGAGAGAAAAAAGAAAAGAAAATAACAATTAATGCATTTTCGAAATATATTTAATTTGTATTTAATTATGATTTGGTTTTTTTTCCCTAATCCAGTGGCAATATCATTCCTCGTGTTGAGTACACCGTGCAGGAGACGAAAACATGGTAAGGATATCAACTTTTAGGTTCCTTTTAAAGAGATATTTCTCATGCCGAGAGGGGCGGGCGGGGGGAGGGGGGGGGGGGGACGAATTCATCATCATAATCATCGTCATCATTGTCATCCTTTTATCGTCATCATCATCATCAGTATGATGATCATGATGAAAAGGATCATATGGGCGTCCTTATGATCACGAGCATTATCTCCACTATTATTGTTATCAACATCATCACGATAGTCTTCATCATTACCATTATCATCATCGTCATAATCACTATCACAATCAATTATCATTATTTCCACAATCTTGACAATTTGTCATCCGCATCATTACGAGGATAATCATCCTTAATGTCAACATCCGATCATCATCACCGTCACCATCATCATTGTCTTAATCATCATCGTCATCACCATCATCATCAACAAAATTGTCATCAAAATAAAACCCAATACGACCATCATCAACATCATCATTATCATCACCATCATCGTTATTTTTTTCATCATCATCATCATCATCATCATCATCAACATCATCATCATTGTCTTCGTCATCTTCATTGTCGATTAGAGTGCTAGAATGTGGGATGAGAAGAGCACGAGTTTGTTTGTACTACTCAGAACGAAGTGTTTTGACGTAGGTAAAATGTTCCTTATACGAGCTCGATCAAAGGTACCAAGTAAAACTTTTCTCTTCTCATTACTCACTTTCCAGGGGCCAGGTATTCTCCGAGCTCAACAGATTGTATCCAACGCACGCATGTGAAGAGTATATGAGAAACTTCAACATTCTGAAACGGGACGGCGTGTACAGGTGAGCCAGATTAGAGAGCCATTTGTATTTGAATAATGATAATGACAATAATGATATTAATAAAAGTTATAATGATATACTTTTTTAATGTATGAGGTTTTAGCTTTTATTTCTTTAACAACTTAATGATATTTGTTTTAGCAAAAGTTAACTTCACTTATTGCTAATTAGATCGATTTTCAGTTTGACAACGCGGAGTTAACTAAATTACTGGTATGATACTATATTATAAGACATTAATGCTACATTGTGTTATTGAGCACCGGTAGTGTATGAAATGACGATGACAACGTGTTAAAGCCCCACCGCACTACTTATAGCTACCTGCGCCCTATATAGCAGTCAATGCTTAATCGGTGACCATTGGTCCCCCATGATCCCCTCTCTCTTATGTTAATTGAGAGCTGATTTGATGAGAGAATCACCTGCCAGTGACCATGCAAGAATGTTTAATCCCTCCTGGCCAACTAGTGCAGAGGGGCTTTAAAATGAAATGTATAGCTGTTGGCCTGTTGCTAACCTTAATTGTTCACTTTTGTCTTTATTCGGGTGCTTAACAGGGAGGACAAAATACCACAGTTGGAAGACGTCTCAAGGTTTCTCAAAGGTAAGGAGAGCTGCTTGGAATAACGCTGAGTTAATTTCTTGGACAACTTCACCTTCTTTCTCATAATCCATACTGTGTCAACCCTCCTGTTTGATGCTTTCGATTAGTTACAGCCAGCCTTACTTTATTCTACATTTTTCTTTTGTCATGTGTAAATTTGCAATGTTTGTTCGTTATATATTTGTAAAAATGCAAAAAAGAAAGAAAATCAAACAGAAATAAATAAATCAACAAATCAACAACAACAAAAAATAGTCAAAGAACTTAATACACCTGGGTAACGAAATCTGTTGAGTGTATCAGATTTTATTCAATGGTAGAGGTGTCGTATAGTCGGGTGGTTTAATCACTTGAATCGGAATGCAAAGGTCGTAGGTTCGAGCTCCGGGCACGGCACTTATGTCCTTGAGCATGGCATTACATCTCTTCACCCATGTGCTATAATATGCGTTAGGTGACAAGCAGGCAACAACATTGAAACTAAATTGAAATACGGTACATGGTATATCAATTCAGAAAATTTTAAGACTATACTGATATCATAGAAAATAGAAATTGTATTCAGCCGTCCATTTTCTTTCGTTGTCATTATGTTTTCATAATTTCATGCGCTCTTGTACTAATTCCCCTGTGTAGATTGTACTGGTTTTCAGATCAGACCGGTTGCCGGATATCTATCCTCCAGAGATTTCCTAGCCGGTTTGGCGTTCCGGTTATTCCACTGTACACAGTATGTCCGCCACTCCTCGGATCCACTTTACACACCGGAACCGTAAGTTTTTTTTTCCCATACCCGAGATGACGGTTATCCGTCAACCGATAATGTCAATCCAGTAATTCATTGTATTATATTGAATAGCATTAGCAATTATTAGAGTTCGCCGTCAACTTTATGAGTAAAGGTTAACCCCAGAAGTCTGATAGCTCGCGAGACTGACATAAACATTGTCAGTCTGTTTTACGGATGTCGGTCTAATGAAATATAACCCCCCCCCCAAAAAAAAAAAAAAAAAAAAAAAAAAAAAAAAAATAATAATAATAATAATAATTTTTTTTTTTTTTTTTTTTTTTTTTTTTTTTTTTTTTTTTTTTTTTTTAAATTGTGAGAAGTTCCGTGAGACTGGTCGGTCTGTTCAATAAATAATTGTAGATTGTCACAACATTTAAATACACTGAAATGCGTATCAAAAATTTATCTGGATTATTGTTTCATGATTTCAATTTTTGTTCACCTGCTCTAGGGATTGCTGCCATGATTTGCTCGGCCATGTTCCTTTGCTCGCAGACAGAAGTTTTGCTCAATTTTCGCAGGTAAGCGGAAAATAAAAGTTGTAATTATATCTATATCATAATTATGTTCCTCTTTAACTAATCTAATTCTTTAAATATTTTCGTATGATATTATGTCCAATCATGCCAATATTTGCCGTATTGTTATTCGTCCTGCAACACTAGTTTAATTAATGATAATGATAGTGAACACTTGTAATGTGACATGTCTGTCAAAATTGACACTCCTGGGTTAGGTGTGAGAGATTGAATAATAAATTGTGGGCACAATTGATGTTCAAATTCTTGGGCAAATATCACGTTTATCAAGTGTTTACAATGTATCATAAGTCTCTGATGTATCTTTGGAAGTATATACATTTATGAAGAAAATAGTCGGTCCTATTGTCGAATTTTGTATTATATTCTATAATTCCTTTCTTTTCTTTTCTTTTTCTTTCAGGAGATTGGTTTAGCTTCTTTGGGTGCTTCAGATGAAGAAATTAATAAGCTCACAACGGTAAGAAAATGTTTAGCAAGTGTTTAGAAACAAATTTACATTCTCAATCTGTAATTAGGAGTAATTGGAATATTTTCTGTGCCTAATGACTGTTGTCATGTTAAGGTAATACTACTACTACTACTACTACTACTACTACTACTATTACTACTACTAATAATTATAATAATAATTAACGAAGCTCAGGATTTAACAAATATTTCATATTGTTGTACTCTGGTTCTTGTATCATTTTAATGCTGGTGGGAAGCATATATCCACACCGTGGACGAAATAAATAAATATATCTAATATAAAATATCAAAAAGCTCACTAAAGTAATATATAAGTGAATAAATGGCATAACATGATGAATACATTGAGATGCTTTATAAATTTGTAAAGACAACGTGATACTTACAAGGAGCATCTAATGTGATTTCTGTTTTATTTATAGTATACATTCGGTTTTTCAGAAGTGTGGACAAACATTTTCTCTAAACCTCTAAACAATAGCTTAATTCCTTAAGATTTCGTAATTGTCAATGTCAGTTATTTGTATTGCTGGTTGTTATTACTTTAATATGGTACTTCTTTGGTCTCATAAAACCAATTTACGAACATAATCTTTTTTCTCTCTTCAGTGTTATTTCTTCACGGTGGAGTTTGGGCTGTGCAAGCAGGACGGCCAGACGAGAGCTTATGGGGCTGGTCTCCTATCTTCTATCGGAGAACTCAAGGTAAGCGACCAAACCCACTATCTCTCTTCCAGTAGCAGTTTTAGAGGGTTCTTACCACCCCCCCCCCCATTTGTTTATGTTTGCGGGGGGGGGGGGGGAACTTGAGATCCTGAAACCCTCCGAATTTCTTCAATCCCGCACAAAATATTGGGAAACAATGATAATTATTTAGTCATTGTTTATGTAAAAGATTCGTTGATGTATACAAACTTATCGAATTTGATTCTCGCTTAAAATAAAGAACGCTGTCGGAGGGGGAAAAATATCACAAGTAACTTATGATACTGCATCCAATAATTATCACCTTATGTACATGAATTATAATTTGAAAATATATTAATTTTACCCAGCATGCTTTATCAGAGGAAGCCAAGGTATTGCCCTTTAACCCCGCTGTGACATCCAAGCAGGAATGCTTGATCACGACCTATCAGGAAGCTTACTTCATCTCAAAGAGCTTTGAAGAAGCAAAACAACAAATGAGGTTAGTAGGACGGAAAATCTACTGGGGAGGGGGGGGGGGGGGGGGGGGTGGGTCAGAAAAAAATATTTTAGCCGTAAGAAGATGATGATGATAATAATGAGAGTAATAAAATAGAGAATGATATTAAATTATAATCAAAATCATAATCATAATAAATAAATAAACGAAATAATAGTAATTAAAATAATAAAGATAATTATAATAATAATAATGTTAATGATGAAAATAATTAAATAATAAGAAGAATAGTGATAACAACAATGATTTCAATTCGAAATGTATTTGAAAAGTTAATAGTACCTTAATCAACATCAAACACAATCGCAAATATTGTAAAAACATGCACTTTCAACAGCACGTGTGTTATCTTTTATTATATCTACGAAGATCACAATGACATGGAAATCCGAACATAAACAAATTATCGAGGTAATACATTATAGTTTAAAAATTACTCTCGAATTGTTTTTTTTTTTTCGAACGTCTTTGGAATCGTGTTATATACTAACATGATAGTTAAAGCTTGAAAAAACCCTGATATAAGTTAATAATAACTTTGTTTACCCAGGGAGTTACCCTTACTATGCTGTTCTCTCTCGGGGCCCTGCGATTGTTATCAGGTACCCATATACACCTGGGTGGAGCGTGGCAAATGTGGATTAATGTCTTGTCAGAAGACGACAAACAAAATGTTAATATTCCAATCTCACTGTTCTCCTCCTTATTATTATGTTCTTCCAATAATAGGGAATTTGCAGCAACCATCAAACGCCCGTTCGAGGTACGCTACGACCCCTACACATCCAGTGTTGACGTCCTGAAGTCACCGCGTGATGTTTGTGACGTCATCAACAATGTCCGAGATGAATTGACCATCCTCATGCAGGTCCTTGTCAAACTGCAAGCGAAATTTGACAATTGAAATTTGAAAATTGAAATGAAGGGGAAAAAATCCTTTCATTTTCTGATAATAAAATGTTGTAATGCATCGCTTCTGTTTATGTCCAACTCATATTATATTGTATACAATGTGTCTACGATCCGATTTTTTTTCCGGTAAATATAATTATGCAATAGCATTTTACGTAAACGATCAAACTTTTAAAATCTCAATGATCTAATGATCGATGATCTGAATAGGTATATGATTAATGAAATCTAAATATCAAGGGATTTCAATCTTCTGTCCAGAAGGAAATGCTAAATCGGATTAGAATCGTAGTGACGTCGTACCACTAGTACGATTGTCTACGAGTTGAAGCCGATTCGGATTTAATTCTCACTGAAAAGGTTAAATGTACTAAAATTCGGTTGTTAGTATTCTTAATATCATTCAGAATCTAAATCGGGAAGATGGTAGTTGTTTAGATTTCCATGTACAATAATATAACCGCCATTTTCTTCGAAATTCAGATCGCAGAGGAATTCGTGGGTGTCCGCTGTGCATGAGTGTAAACATCTATGCTTATTGTTAATTTTGATGGGCGTATTGATGGCTGTATTTGTAATGGGAGGCCGTAGAAGTGTAATGGGTCGCTTTTGTCCTCCTTACGCAGAAGAGTAGGATTAATGCTTTTTCAGGAATCTTGTTAGGCTTCCCTTTCGGACTCCGAAAGGGAAGCCTAACCTCCGAGGTTTTTTTTTAGTGGAATCTACTCAAAAGAAGTATTTTGATAATCTCTATTGAGAGTGGACTCCACATTTTTTGTGTGTGAGAGGATTCAAGCTTTCCACTCCAAAAACGAAGTGATCACTAATATTTGAGTGAACTTTTGGCATTTTCCGAAATCTTTTACCATGATAATAATTGTATATATTTTCAACCCGAATCTAAAATTAAAACGGTCAAGAATTCAGTTAACACATGAAGACTTCACAGTCTTACTTGGGGTAACAAAATACAGGCCTCCAGGTAAATTTTATTTTTGATATATCTGTTTAAGTTGGGATAATAATATTATTGTATATACAGTGCTTTGTAACTCCAGGAAAGGGCTGAGCCCAACCTATTGTTATCATGATTATAATGTATAGGCCAATAACCTTCATTATTTCTAGTATTTAGACCGGCTGTGGAAATATTGAAAATTTTGAAAATAAGTCGGAACATGATTTAATAATGTAATGAATACTCAGTAGGGGTTTGTGTAAGCTATACTACAACTGTGTGTGAAATTAAATGATTTTAGTCTCTTTGCTACAAAGATGAAAAAGAATGCTCCCAGATTACGTGAAGTTGATAGAAATTAAAGCGAGTTAGTAACTGGAAGTTTACTATGGTATCTTTATATCTGACAAGTAACACAGAAGTCAGAAAGTAATTTGTTCTCATCGGTACATTTTTTATGTTCAAATGTTTTTGTGTTTTTGTGTAAATAAATCATTTCACTGTAAGGTATATTAAACTGCAAGACCTATCCTTAAACTTAGTGACGATTATTAAGTTTCACTGAAAAAGTTATTAACTTATTTCGTATCGAAATGAATTAATATTTAAATTGTCCTTATGTAGGCTTGCGGTTGCGGGTGCACCATGTGTGAGAGCATAGATTACGTCTATGGTGAGAGGGAGAGAGAGGGAGGATTGAGGAGTCCTGAAAAGGACTCTCGGTAATCTTTCTAGAGGGTGGGTAGTCCTGAAAAGGACTGTTGGTGTAGAATTGAAAAAGACTGTTGGTTATAATATATGTAATATTTCGAGCATGTAATTCTGATGAAATTTGTGGCAGGGAATAAATTAAAATGAAATCATGAAATTCGGTCGTAATAATGTATACCTCCATGGTTTCATTGCTTGACAAATTGATTGCGTATGATTGTTTTGATGAGGAGGAGAATGAATATAAGCATGTAGGTCCATGATATAAGTAAAGAAAGAGTAAGAGATGGAGCCTCAAGAGAAGGGGTAATTACAAGTATGATATAACAAAATTGTGATGGAGATACTGATGACGGAGATGATGATGATGATGATGATGATGATGATTATGATGATGATGATGGTGGTGATGATGATGGTGATGATGATGATGATTATGATGATGATGATGATGATGATGGTGGTGATGATGATGGTGGTGATGATGATGATGATTATGATGATGATGATGGTGGTGATGATGATGATGATGATGGTGGTGATGATGATGATTATAATTATGATAAAGATGATGATGATGACGATCGATGTTGATGGTGAAAATGATGATGATCATAATACTGCTTGTGCTGCTGATGATGATGTTGATGGTGATGAGAAGGAAAAGGAGGGGAGAGGAGGAACAGGGGGAGGAGGAGGAGATTATCATTATGAAGTTACTGGATGGCAATAAGAAGAAAAAAAAAGAAGAAGAAGGAGAAGCACAAGGAGAAGAAGAAAGTAGAAGAAAAAAGGTAGAAGAAGACGAGGAAATAGAAAAAAGGAGGAGGAGGAAGAAGAAGAGAGATAGAGAGAAGGAGGAGGAAGAGAAGGAGAAGATGAATAATAATAAAGAAGAAGAAGAAGAAAAAGGAGAAGAAGAAGAAAGAAGATGTTGTATTGCTCTTTAGGTGCCAAAACATGGGTCGGTCGGTCGGAAATCTTTTGTTTTTTAAAACTTTATTTTTTCTTCCGTTCTCCCTCTTTGGGCAAATATTTCTCAGTTTGGATGCTTTAATATTATTTTTCTCTAAAACACGGATTTTTAAATTAATTATTTTTTAAAGCCAACCGTGGATTTCAAGATTTTGGGGTCGGTCATAGGGCAAAACAGCATCTTTGTTGTTAATAGGCTTTACTGCTAGTAGGTACTATAGATAAGTGCATGATGGCCGGGGCACTGTTAATCACAGTTTAGCAATTATTGACCGTGCGTTTTATTGATGGGCCGTTATATAACAATCAATTACTAACTTATCTTTGTGGTACGGAACCTTGATTACAATACCCAAGTAATCTCCATTTCAAATCGTATACCTTTTAAGCCCCTATCGTGATAGTCAATTTGAAGTATAATACATTTTTAATTTTCAAACCAAACATATAGATTATATAATTATTAAATATATATATATATTTCCGTTTCATCAATCATTCTGGAAAAGGCTAAGGGTCAAAATAGCATTTCGGGGAGGTTAAATACGTAACCGTCGCGGGTCAAATGACTGTTCAAATTACTGGACAATCTCGTAAAATGCAGGACATCTATATAATATAATTATGGGCTATATAAGTGGACGTGGGGGAAGACAGCGGTGGCTGTGGGTGAAAACTTTAACTTGATTTCCATCGACCTCTTTCTGATTAAGAGGAAAATAGACTCACACTATCAATAACATTTAGATGACAATAAATCATTTTTAAACGACTAAGATATCATAGCTTATAAAATAGAGGCATATTAGGCCTATAATACTTTCGCTACATTACGTGGAGATTAAGAGATTAATTTGTACTAAGTTGATTCTAAAACAAAATTTAACCTCAGTGCTTTGATAATAAAAACCTCTTGTCGATGGCCCTGGCGCTGTTAACCAGGCCATCGACAAGAGTCTATTAAATTCAGATCAAGTTTATCAGTGATTAGGACCACGCCCACCTTTTGGCTTTCACTGTTACATACATGTACACCACATAACACGTACGTGACGTGTGAGCGCCTGAGCTGACGGTGCAGGTTGAGCTTTGAAGTCAGTATGTATGGCTTGATTCATGCAGCAGTGAATTAACGCTGCAGAGGACTCGAATTCGGCCACTTTTCTGTTAGTATTAGACACAACTTACTCCCGCGCCCGTTTAATCTGATTTACCCAAAACACAAAACAATGGAGCTAAACGTCGTCACACTGAATTGCTGGTGAGTTGTAGATTGGCTCCATACCAGATATAGATGACACTGTTGATAAGAATTAGTTTGCAATTTCTTTTGTTCCAACTTCGAACTTTCAAAGCTTTAACTCGGTCCCATTCACTGTCATTGATGTCAGTTTGTATTGTTTGTTTTCCAGTTTGTAGTAAATCTAGGTCACTTTACCTAGCCTTAGGCAGATAAGAGTTAAGTGAATAATATGACCACCAAGCCGTAATTGAATCTGTCTCTTCTGACCGCCTCTGTGTATGGGGATGTCAACAAATGTCAGTTTTATTAAAGAAATGATCCACATCAGACGGTTATTTCTGTTTAACACTTGATCGAGATGCTTGTAGACCTGCTAATCTTACATCATTCATAGTCATACATGTCTTATTAATATTATGTCTATGATTTTATTTTTAGGGGTCTCCCATTTGGTGTGAGCAAGCATAGGAGTGAACGAATGCAACACATCGCCAAAGAGTTAGCCAGCGGAGCTTATGATATCGTCTCACTGCAAGAGGTACATGTATATAAATCTCTTATCAAATGCGTTTAGCACACAACTAAAAACTTTTGCATGAAATGTTAGCAAATTTACAAGTTAATCATGTTCAGGAAAGTAAATGTGCTGCGAAGTGATTGCGTAATTGTTGATACAACATCAATTTTCTGCAATTCACAAAAGTTTAATGTTACAAAAGTTTATCTTCTTCTTTGTGTAAGGTTTTAATTTTACTGAGCCGGATGGTTACTTGTTTATTGTCCAATCTTCTGATTATTGTTTGATGGACTGCATGCCAGCCATCTTGGCAGCCATTTTTTGGTTGTATTAAAATCTAACAGTGCAGCTCAAGTCATCAAACATATAAGACTAGTTTTGTCTTGTGTGGGTCCTTACAACTGGTGGCAGCGGTGGGATTTGAACTCACGCCATCGAAATGACTATTTGTTTATTTATTTCATCAGGATTAAAAACTCTGCTTTGCTGAGCTTGAGCTTTTTCTCATACCGACTATTCCTAAAAGCAGTCAAATTGTAGTAATTGAGATTGACAACAAAGCGTTTGAGAGTTTATCTTTTGATTCTCTGTAACTGTTTAACTTTTTTATACTGCCGCTTTTATTTTGTATTGTAGTACCGGGTAGCCCTTTTCATTTCATATTATTTCAGTATTTAGGTATTACAACAGCCAGCCCAGGTAGGTTGGTGAAGTACAGTTAAACCTGAATCTACCGACGCAACCGAAACAGAAACAGTATCATTGTGAATTGATGCTGTTGTTGTAGCTCTGCCTAATGGCTACATGGACAACAGCACCATGGTGCCTAAAAACATAGTATTAGGCATGACACAAAATTTCGTATTATTTGTATTATCTATGACTACTAGAGGCTGGAGTTTTTGTATGACTCACATTCATATCTTGTAATTTTCTCAATTTTTTAATTTTTATAAAGTGAAACTCACAAAGGTGACATCATGCAGATGTAGCAAGAAAAATAAATTTTCAATTAATGGAGTTATTGTTTGAATTGGCCTTTACAAGCACATTTGTTGAAAGTACGGTAGATATTATTTCCACGTCTGTTCTTTTCTTTGTTTTTCTTTGTTTTTCATTATTTTTTCGTTATTCATTATTCATTTTATTATTGTTTTTAGATCTGGGTAATGGAAGATTACCAGCTAATAAAGTCTACAGTTGAAAAAGTTCTACCTCACAGCTTCTACTTCAGAATGTGAGTTAAACTTCTTCCTCTTTTTAGTCTTCTTTTTCATTTTCTTCTTCTCCTCTAATTTGTTTCTTTTTCTTCTTCTTCTCCCGTCTAGTATTTGATTGTCCGTCTTTCCCTCTCTCATTATCCCTTTCCTCTGTATTTCCCCTCTCTTCTTCCCTCTGTCTTACTCTCTTCTCCCCCTTTTTATGTCACTCACTCTTTGAATTCAGGTCTGTTACCAATGTGTGTCTGTCTGTCTGGATTTCATCGTCTAGGCTTTTACAGTATACATTGTCCATTGTGGGGGCCAGAACGGCAACATGGTGATAATTGATATCATTTTACACAATGATACCACCATTCTAGTTACAAACAGATGCCATAATTTGATTTCATTTTGATTTGATATGGTTTTTTCACTCAAAAAGTTTTTGCAGTCATAAAAACACTTTTTAAATATTTTTTTTTACAGCAACTGAGACCCCCAAGACCTTACATATAATTCGTAAATGTTAATAGATACAATAATGATTACTGTTCAACCTAATTTTGAACTGATTTCAATTATGACAGAAATTTGAAATACTAATGGCTCCAGGTATTTATTCCTCTGAAAATGTCTTTTGAATCAAGATAGAATTTATGAGTATTCATTAATGTTTTTTTCTAATTTATATTTCAGAGAAAATAACACTAGTAAAGAAAATTTCCTATCAAAATCTGAAGATAAAGAAAGATAAAAGAAGATTTTTTTGTAAAAGATGGAGATATAGATCGATTGGGATTGGTTGTGTTAGTTGGAAAGATTTCAAATTATATTCTTCATTTTGTGGCAGAACAAGAAGCCCCCCTCTCTTTTTAAGTCAACCTTTCTTTTCCTTACTATCTCTCACCAAGGGGAATGCTACACGGCGGCCTCTGCATCTTTTCAAAATGGCCGATCATCGACACGTTCTATCATCCATACTCCCTCAACGGCTACGCTCATAAAGTAACCATGGCAGACTGGTATATCTCCAAAATGGTGGCTTTGTGCAAGCTAGATGTAGAAGGGATGACTGTGAATGTCTACAATACACACGTAAGAAGAGTTAGAATGCCTTGAGTGAATCAATTGATTCATATTAGGCCTAAAAAAAAGATGTTGTATTGCCCTTTGCGACCGACCCCAAAATCTTGAAATCTACAGTCAGCTTTTTAATTTATAAATTTTTTAAAACTGTTTTTTAGAAAAAAAATGCATTATACAACTCTAAACTGAGAAATATCAGCCCAAAGAGGGAGTAAAATAAAGTAATTTCTGACCGACCGACCCATGTTTTGGCACCTAAATGGCAATACAACATATTTTTTTTTAGGCCTTAGACCAGGGCTCATATTGAATTCAATACTTATCTCAGAAATATTTGGTATTTTGCTTAGCTTTCGGCTTAGGCAAAATACTCAGTTGAAGCTTTGGGTCAAGTATTTTGCTCTAAACTTAAGACAGCTCCCTAGATGAATGAAGTCAATTGTTCAGATAATGACATATATTTTATATACATGTACATATATAAGTAATATAATGAAATATTATGGTTTTCATAAAAGCTGCGAACAATTAAATCAGCACGCATCCAATGTAACAATTTTATCGGGTAATATTCTGGATTGGCTTTAATAGTGACGCAACAGTGTCCATCAGTAAGTATTTACCTTAAAGTTGGCTTACTAAAAAGTAAAATACTTTGATATGGTCTGTTAAGACTTGAGCCATGCTACTTAAAGCTAATTAAAAATGCTGATACTTATCATCAACCATTACTGATTAACAATTTGTAGAATTTCATGTAGACATGTAACATGCCAGTGAAGATTTGAAAACATGTTTCGAGGAATATGCATATTCAGTGATATTTTCTTTCAATTTGTCAGGTTAATGATGTTCTATACAGGCCAATACACCTTTTTAAAACACCCCAGATAACGTGAGCTCCTGTCTGATGTACCAAGTGCTTCATATAACATGCATGTAGACATTTTTTTTAAAGTCTTTAAAGATCATGCAAAAATTCTTAATTTTTCTAATTTTTCTTTCAAATGCTCAGGCCCACGCTCTCTATGCACCATCCAATATCCCTGAAAAAGATGAGTTTCTGACGCATCGATTGACCCAGCTCTATGAACTCAGCGAGTTTGTAAGATTAACTTCAGGGGCAGCAGACCTTGTGCTCGTTACGGGAGACTTTAATTCAGAACCGTTCTCTCTAGCCACCAAGCTTGCCGTCTCCAATGCTAGATTGTTGGACGCTTGGGAGACAAGAGAAAATAAAGAGGTATCGTTTGTTTACTAACAGATTTCTGAAATGAATGATTACAGAGTTTCAAGAAATCAAATCGAGGGGATTTCCGGTACCCTATAAAATTGCCTAAATTTTGTTTGGATTGATATAATATTGAATGGCCTTGAGTGGGATACAAACTAGGGTATATTCCAGAAGCTGATTTGCATATTTCATGAGTTGACATGATAAGTGAAATATTATCAAAGCAAAAGCGATACTCTTGACAGTCTTGTGTCCCACTAAAGCAAAGCCTTTTGATATTATTATTATTAATTGTATGTAACGTAGTATCTCACTTTTCCTGTGTGTATTTCAGTCAGTGTTTTTCTTTTTTGCCTTAGCACAGTCCCAAACGATGAGATCGTGAAAAGTAACTGCATCATTGTCCAAGAACTTTTGCAAACCATGAGGTATTGAAAATCTAGTGCAGGGTCAACCAGGTTCTTTTGCTTAATTAAAGCACAAGATATACCGATTTGTGTTCTTGGCTCTAAACCCTTCATACTAATAATAATAATAATATGTAATACGGCATTGTAAAGTCTGCACATTTCACTAGATGACACACATGCCTGATGAAATTGATTTGTTTTCTTGTAAGTCTTCATGATCATCTTTATTCTTCATGTCCCACATGTAATAGAATCCGTTCTAATTCTGTTTCTCTAATTTTTCTCCTTTCATACAAATGAAGTCATTAAAAAGATTTGGTTGCCATTTAAATATGAATGTTTAAAAAAGCCTTGAGTTGCTCCTCTGGCTCTTTTAAAGATCAAGTTGAGTTCTGGTCATGTGATTTATTTTAAACAATCACCATTCTGTTTCTCTAATTTGTCTCCTTTCATACAAATGAAGTCATTACAAAGGTTGGGTTGCCCTTTAGATATAAATGTTTGAGCAAGCCTCGAGCTGCTCTGTTTAAAGATAGAGTTGAGTTCTGGTCATGCATGTGATTGCATTGTGAAAAAAAAACTGTGTGGAGAAATTGGAAAACGCATTGTGAGATTTTGGAATCATCAAAATCATAACAAATCCTTGGCCCTGTTTTGCTAAAGGTCACAGAAAGATATATATGGAACTACACAAACATGTGGTATGAAAGTTGTGGTCCACAACTTTCAGCTGTCAAGTATCATATTTCAAATATGATATTTCAAGAGCTGCCCTTTTCTGGGGCCATTTATTCTAAGATTCTTCTTCCAAATGACGTTAAAAAAAAAGAAAAATCATAATTTTGCACCTTTCCCGGAACTCAACCTTCTCTTCTATTAAACAGGGCATTCCTAGTCAGACTGTGGAATGGTCTGGTAACCAATACACCTCCTGCAACTCCCGCTACTATACCGGTACCGATGGAGAGAGGATCGATTACATAACATATCGCCCCTCTCCGATGCTCTGTGTTACTTGCACAGAGAGCAGATGTGTGAGGGATCCAGAGAAAGGGGCGGCTTTCTCTGATCATGAAGCCGTCATGGCCTCTTTGACTCTTGAGAGAAAAAGAGGTACTAGAATTGCATTGTATTTGTCCCCTCCCCCCAAAATAGACTGTATTTTTGGGTGTAAAATCCATTGATTAAAGGTATAGACCAGTTTTGGAAACGCCCCCCTCTCAAAAAATGAAATGGAAGCTCTTATTAATTACCAATCATGTGAAAGAATATGTTTTGACTTCAACGTGATGATACAAATTGTGCCAGGAAACCGCCTACTTATTGATATATTTGGTTGAGTATCATATCGTTCCGGCCTGGATAGATGTAGTCCCATATATATCTTTCTGTGTACAGTGCTTGTAACTTTACCAACACTGGGCCAAATTTCTTATCATTTTGATGGTTCCAGAACCTTGCAGTACACACCAATACTTACATGTATATGCTAGATGATCAACCTTTTCTGATCGATGCCACACCGTTTCTTTCACATTGCAATTGCACGACTAGAAATAGTCTATACCCCTAAGTACTGTATATCCAGAAACATTTGCAAATTGTTAAACTAAAAGGCAATCCAACCCTGCAATAAATTCATTTGAATAAAAGGAGAAAATTAAGAGAAACAGAATGGTTGAAAGTTCGAAATAAATTGGACCAAAAGTAAGAGAATTATGGATGTTTGTAATATGAGATCTCTAAATGTCACAATTCAATGACCAAATTTCCAAATTGCAATTTGCATAGATGTAGTGATCTCATATTTCAAACACTTAAAACTTTCTTATTATTATTCTGATTTATTTCAAACTTTCACTGTTCTGTTTATCTTATTTTTTGTCTACGACAGTCATATTCATGTTATTTGCATTCAATTTCCCTTTTTTTTTAAAGCCTAGCCCTTGCATGTGGCAGTTAAAATTTATTAAATGTGCATTTACATGTTTAATTATATTGAAGCATGTACATGTACACATTGTAAGTCATACACGAATGTCACATGTAAATCATGAAGCATTCATTCAATTTTGCATTGCATTGTCAAATTGGTCATATGATTGAGCAAAAACCCTGTTCAATCATTCAAATTCATTTTTAATTCATCCAATTAAGCATTTTGTGCATTCAGTTTAATTATTCCCCTCATATGTTTATCATTATGTATTTCATGCGTAATGTGAAGTGTGGTCTAATAGATTAGACATTTGTTTGGTGCTGTACATCTACACTCTCTCTCTCTCTCTCTCTCTCTCTCTTTCTCATTCTCTTTTCATCTCACTCACTTTCTCTCTCGATTTTCTACTGTGTACATCATGTATGTTGATTTATTTTGCTTTGTTTTCCCCATCATGCCCATGTATTAAAGCACTATCATCTTATCTCCTCTATATAGCGCCATCTCAGGTCAGCTGTAGCAGTATGGTCCCTTACTAATTCGCTGCTTCCTCAGCTGCGCTGTTGGTTCTCATACCGAGTCCTCTGCCTGCGTAAAGGAAATTATATATTGGGTAGCACACTGTTGGCAAGTTGACCAAGAGATGGCGCTGTGCAATAGTACAGTATGCTAGCGCAAAAAGTTCATCTGTTCACCAACGCTTTAACATTCATATTTACATTTTCACAATTGCTCCCATAACAACAATGTGTTCACAATCACCATTACGCTAGTACACGGATGGGATGACGAACGAGAGACTGGGCAATCCTCTCGCAGAAGGCCAGACCCTGTTCTATATGAATACCGACAATGGAGAAAGGATCGACTACATTTTCTACCAGTCTTTCGGCCCCTACACAGCCAAGTGTCTTAAAACTACACTGGCTCTGCAGAAGATTCCGGGCATGGATTTGCACTATTCGGACCATGAGGGCGTTTTGTCAACAATCTATGTAACGCTGGCAAAAGGTGTGGCTTGCTCCATCCATTCTTTCATCATGATTGCACAAACTAGATTTTATTTGTATCGAAGTTTTGCTTTTTATTTGCTTCTTGCTATAATTGCTGTGAGTGTCATGTAATATTAGTGTACATAAAGCATTTCTTTATTTTGAAATCTAAGCGAATAGACCATTTTCGTAATGTACCCGGTAATAGAATTTGACGCCCTAATCTTTGTTGAATGTCTCGTTTCAAATTATGTCATCCACCTGTTACGGATAATTTCAATAGTCAGAATGCGAATTGCATTCATTCCGTGTGGTTAGGGAGGACAAGCCATGTTTGTCTTACCTAGCAACAATTAATATATGAAATTAGCGTTCTGACTAATGACATACAATTACATGTATTCGTAACAGGTGAATAAAATAGATTGTAACAAGGCCCTTAACAAAGGTTTACCGGTATGCATTAAATTTGATCACATTACAAAAATGGTCTATTTGCTAGCTATCCTTCTTTAATAAATGCAAATCATATAAATCATGTGTCACTTTCCAATATTAGACAGCGAAGAAAACTTGCCTTTAAAAAAATGAAGGCATCGTTGTAAAGCATGTTAACCCTATTTTAACTGGGCTATTTCAGACCAGGTTTTTACTGGGGGGGGGGGGGGGGGGGGGTCAATTTGACCCCCTCTTAAGATCTCGGCCGTTTCACGGACGATCGCCGCGGAAATTTGCATACCTGTACATGTCAAGTGAAGCGTATAGAATACTATGGTAATTTCAATTTTTTGAGAAATTCACTCATTTACATATTTATGGTAATTTATGCAAATAAGGTTATAAAATTCACATTTTTGCCCATAAATCATACATTATTCATATTTAAGCATTCTTTTTCACTACATATATTTGTTAGACCGTTTGGAATAATAATACAACACAAAAAATTAGAAGAGCCAGGTTATTCCTTATGTTATCTCTTGTTTTGATAATTTCTTATGTATTTCATTGTTTTTTCAACTTATGTATTTTATTGTTTTTGTTGTTTTATTTAATTTATAACTACAATTCAACTATTTTGACCCCAAAACAAACACCCAAACTTTAAACAAGACTAAATAACCAATGTTTTATCTCTTTTTAGGAAAAATGACATTTCCATATGTTTTGTACACAAATCACAAAAATGAGTGACTTTCGGGCTGACATGCAACAACAAAATGTCACATGACTCCGTAACTATACGTCCGATTTTCAAAAAAATTGTTTTAAAAGATGCGAAAGACTCGAAAGAAAAAAGTCATGAAAGGAAAATTTTATATCTGCCGCGGTTTCGGAGTAGTCGCGAAATTTCTACAGGGGGGGGGGGGGGTCAAATTGACCCCCCCCCCCCATCAGTTAACGTAGGGTTAAAGCAATGGTTAACTCCCCCCCCCCCCCCCCCACCCTCATCCCTTCCCTTTCCCCTTCAGTAGTAGGTATTCTTTGTTCTTGTCTGTACTCATGTTGTTGAAATCTTAGGTTCTGGGAAATGAATGTATTTTTAAGAGAAACTGCCTATAAATAAATGCTGTCCTGAAAGGTTTAAAACTTTCAAACAATCATAGCATTTACATCTTGTGAACTTGTGTTCTGTGATAATTCTCTATCATTACCAGCTATTCAGATTTATGTTCATTTTTTACAAGGGGACACACATGTTCGAATTTTAATCTTTCGTAAGTCATGACCATAGCAATTAGTCCGAATAGTAATAATGATAATGTAATATTGAAAGTTGGAAGACCACAGTCTTATTGGAGAGCCAGAACTCAACTATTTCTGCATGTATTTTTCTTTCTTTTTTTCTGCGATCTTCATTCACAGACACCCAAGGACGAGGGGATGATGTATCGGACGAGAATTCAAACCAAGAGGAAGATGGGTCACCATGGCAACACCTTCCGGATCACCTGAAGGAGGCCATCTTGCATCTCTCGAGCAACATCGAAAAGGTCAAATCTGATCAGAAGTGGTGCCTTGTGAGGGCGCTATTCTTTTTCACGCTCCTCCTACTCTCCCTATCCCTCGGGAGCGTGAGCCAGGTACTGGCTTTCGTGTGGACGTGCGGGATGACGCTGCTGACGGCCTTCTACCTCGGGTTTGGAATCGTCGCTAAGGAATGCGAGAAGAAGACATTGACAGGTATCATGGAGGGCATGAAGGTTCGACTGAGCGTGGTTGAGAACAGAACGACGGTCAACGGAGAACCAGGGGGGAAACATATATGAAGCATTCTTTCTTATTTTGCTCCATCACTTCTATGGGGGCATTTTTTATGTGTGTAGTCGGGGGTCAGCAATTAACATAATAATAATAATATTTAATTTTTATATCGCGCTTAATACAAATGTCTCTAAGCGCTTTTCAAATATACTATCATTGGATTCAGTGCTTGCCCGCACACAATGTGTGCACAATCTCCACTCCCTGGGGAGCATTCCAGCCAGGCATGAGGAGAAGCAGGGGGGAAACATACATGAACCATTTTATCTTACTTTGCTTCATCACTTCTATGGGGGCATTTTGTATGTGTGTACTTAGGGTTCAGCATTTAACATGAGGAGAAGCAGGGGGGAAACATATATCAAGCATTTTATCTTACTTTGCTCTTTTGCTTCTATGGGGGCATTTTTTTATATGTGTAGTATGTGTAGTATTCAGGGGTCCGAAATTAACATCCATTCAAACATTTTGTTGCAGGGAAAAAAATACATGAGGCTCGGGGCGAATTAGCCCCCGAAAGTCATAAAAGAGCCCCCAAATTTTGCATGGAGTTCAATGCAAAACAAATTAAAGAGTGTTATTTTCATGCAAGCAAGCTTGAAAAGTAGCCCCAGAAACGTCGTAAGTAATTTTTTCCCCGTTTTGTTGCAATCCTGACAAATTTATCAAAGATCTTCTTTTTTCCTCCTGTACCTAACCTGTTGAGTACCGTCTTCTTTAATTCCCATAGGCTTAATACAAGAGCCACTTGGTTCCTGGAGTATATGGGTTAATGTTCAAGGTGGGCCACATTTTTTTTCATACATTTAGTACCAAGTAACCCTGTAAGTTGGGGCATTGTAATGTAGGCATGCATTATAATCCAAGATGGCAGCCCGCATGTTTTGCCTCTTCTCTTAGACCAATATTATTAATTTCAAAGTCTTGAAAAGGCATTGAATATCAACAAACATGGTCTACAACGATTCCATATGACAAAATAATCCCAGCTATGAATTTTTTTAAAGCATTTGATAGGCAAAAACTTGAAAATTTTCCGCATTAAAAAAAAAATTTGCAGATTTTTTTCCCGATCATTTTTATTGATCGGCAATCGGAAATTATTATCCAATCACCCCTGATCGGCTGATGATCGGTTACAGGCCTAGTACCAAGTATTTTCAAATGTATGCTTGCCTCTGCACTTGGGTTTCAAAATAGATTACCCGTAATGTTGGTACCGGTGTATTTTGTTAAATACAGAAAATGTACTGTCTGTGTCCACACCTTCCTAGTCTTTTTTATATTTAATCATGGATTTGTTTTAATTGTCTTTAACATAGCAGATAATAATGTATAGGCCTATCGATTGAAAGTATGAATAGAATATATCGTCAAATTTATATAATATATGAAATATATATAATATATTTTTTCAGCACATTTATGAATTGAGCCTTGTTATAACGAGGTCCTTTGGACCTTGGAAATTGCCTTGTTTTATTAGGAATCTTGTTATGTCCGAGTAAAAAAAACAAAAGAATATGAAGATCCAGGACCCGTATTCAAATTCACCTTGGTGTACATGTATCAGAGCACTTTTTAATGAGGTTCCAGTGTATACAGATATACAAAAAAAAAAATCTATATTTGTTCCAAGTGTGCTTTTTATTAATAAATGAATCATGACAAACATCCAGACAATCAGAACCCTTTCATGATGTATAATCAGTTGTGCACTGTTAAACTTGGGGTGTACTGTCCTGTGATGTAAATTTCTTTTTCTTTCTTTCATTTATTATGCTGTCTTGTATATTTGTTTAATTTTTAAAACTTTACTTTACTAGTAGTTCAGCTTTTCAGGCAAATCTGATTTAATCTAAAAACAGAGCAATGAATAAAAGAAAGAAAGACAACAATTTACATATTATGTATGTCCTGTATTTTACGATGTGCTACACCAGAACATTTTGCATGCAAAATCACATGTACTTTACACTCTCCTCTGTGCTTCCTCTTTTCCCCTCTCTCTAGGTGCCATATCTACAGACTCGGACAATCCTGTTGTTCCACTAGTCTATGTTTCTAGCATTCTCCATCAGAACCCCTCCCCTTGCCTCTCACTTATCTCCTCAAAACTTGCCGACTATCCAATCAAAAGTATTATTCTTCTCCTTCAGCTAGTCTTACTCTTCTTCCACTCAAACTTGGAAGGAAGTATCTCTCCTCTTTCAAGCACCCAATACATGTGTTTTAGGTTGCCCATAGTAATTCCATGGTTTAGGCCATCATCTAGACTACCACATGTCATAATTCAGGCTTTTATATAAAATTATGAAAAGTCCTCTCTATGGTCAGGCCTTAAATTTCAATATTTTTAGGGCAAGGCCACTTTTCTGTAGGGCAAATTCATACATGTATATTACAGCACAAATGGGAAGAATTGGAAGGGCACAGAAAATCTCCAAGGCCAATGAGAGGGGCATTGCGGCCAATCAAAGGGACATCCATGGCCTTGGTGGACTTGGATTAAGTTAAGCCCTGTATGGTAACAGATAAACATTATTTTCTAGATTTCCTGAAAGGATCTGGGACCTGTTTAATAAAGCTTGTTATCAATAACCAGTTACAATAACTGCTTATGAAATGGGGCCCAGATCTATGATCTTCACTGTTTACACGGACATGTAATTTTAAAGTTATTGTAACTGACTTAAAAGCATCTGTAAATGACAAACAAATACTACTCATCAATGAATGTTAAAGAATGTTTTCCTTTATTACAAATACAAATAAACAGTTCTACTGAAACATATATATCAAATGACAACAAAAATGCTTTTCTAAATACATCATTTCAAATTGCTTTGAAACGCTCAAGTCTCATAATGGAGTGTCGCTTTTAGCAACAGGAATACTTGCCAGAGACTATTCTGACATATCAACGAGTCATCCCCCCCCCCCCCCCCCTCTCTCTCTCTCTCTCTCAGCCATTCCTGACAAAACAATTGGAGTTGAGAAGCTAAACGGTGTTCATAACGATGCAAGGGATCAACATCCCAAATATCAGAAAAAGGTCCAAACTTTGAAAGGCTATGGTGTGTGGGGCAAACCTAGTAATTACTTTGCAGGGACTTTGAAAAGATTGAAGTATTTTGAGCTCCATCTTCCAGCTGAGCTAGCAAGAGTTGCAAGACACAAAACAGTAAATATACCAGGGGGTATTTAGTTCAACCCATTTGGTTTAACACTCGTCATCCAAAAAAATAATTTCCATCAGCTGTAGCAGCACGAGGGTTGTTAGACTCTGGCAAAGAGAAATTCTATGTGCACTTTCTTTGGGATTGCCCAGATTTATTTTTATCAAAAACATGGGAGCTACAGATACTGCCAAAAAATTGTAGCCTGCCCGCAAAAAGAACATAACAGCCTTCTTTGTTTGTTTTACCCGACTGCAAAGAAAGCATGCGTATGCTTGTGTAAGTAAGCAACCAGGGGACCTACAGCTTTAAGACCTCTCTGAGGGACTTGGTAATGAGGACTAATGCCTTACCAAAGGGCACTAGCACATCATCTTGGTTTTGAAACCGGGGCCTCCCGGGTTACAAGACCACTGAGCTATCGTGCCTCCTAATAAATAATGAATTAAGAGCATGGGCCATCACTTCTTGCGGGCAAATTATTTAATTCTTTGTAATGTGTGGGGCAGTAACTCATCAAATACTTTCAACCTTTCCCGTTGGTCATGGATAGATATAATCAATTTCTGTCGAGAATGTCCTGTGCTCTGTCTTCTAACATGACGTGTGTGTTCTTGATGTATTCGCACCATTCTCCTAACCGAGTCTGCATTGTGGCAATCTGTTGACATAAAAAATAAAAGTTTAAAAAATCAAAATCAAAATACATGTAGATAAAACATTAATGATAAAAATAAATTGATTTTATATGAAGATGTTTTACAAATCTCTTTGTTTTCACACACTGGCTACAAATTACAACATTGTTATTGAATGGTTGTGATGTTTGAATTTAATATGAAGGTTCTATTTAAAGCCCCACTGTACTACTTGTAGCTACTTGCTCCCTCCATATAGAAAACAATGCCTAATCAGTGACCATTGGTCCCCCACGGTCCACTTTTTCTTATGTTAATTGAGAGCCGAGTTGATGAGATAGCCACCTGTCAGTGACCACTCTGGGTGGTCATCATTACCACTATCACTATTAACATCATCACCACCATCACTATCATTATTCAACATCACATTATCACAATCATTATCGTCGCCATAATCTTATCGACCATCATTAATCTTTTCTCACCTGTTTAGCATCCAGTACTCTTGGTTGTACCCATGTCATATGAACCTTGCTTTCTACTTGGTCGATAGAACCTTTCACTAGACCCAATGACCATCACCACCACCACCATTTAAAATCATCAATACCAACACAACCATATAACATCATCACCACCACCACCATTTAGCATCATCATCATCACTACCATCACTATCTTTGTTTACCATCACCATTATCACAATCGTCGTCATCATCATTCTTCTTTCCTCACCTGTTTTGCATCCAGTACTCTTGGTTGTACCCATGTCATATGCACCTTGCTTTCTACTTGGTCGATAGAACCTTTCACTAGACCCAATGATAATGCCTTCATCACTAGGATTTCAACCTGCAGTGGAAGATACATAAGAAAATAATGTCTTCCCTTTGTCAAAGACATTCCACATCGAAACAGCACTCTTATACTCAGTATTCCCAGTGTTCCTGCTGTATACAGAAGATGAACCTCAAAGCACATCCAATTGGATTTTTTAACGAAAATGTAGTGTACACATTTACAACCAGAAACCTTTTTGAAATTTAAAATATTTTGACTTGATTATTAATTGCATAATGAAACAGTCGCAAATCTAGACAATTATTACAAAAACTTATTAATAGGATCAATGGGTATTAACAAAACAAGGGTTTTGTAACCTCCTTCAATGGCTGTTTGGCAGCTTGTGTGATCACAGACAATATAAGACTATGATTGTCTACTGGTTATGACTGTACTTCACCGTTACTGTATTTGTCTGTGATTATGATTATTTCTTTTCGTAAACTGATCTGTAATTTTTTACTAGTGTAAAACTAATTTTTCTGAATCAATAAAACATGCTTAATTTTAATTTTTTGTCCTCAATCATCCAAGAATTAAAAAAAAATTAAAAAAAATAAATAAATAAAGACTATCACAAAACTTTGATGGACAATATAAATCGAAAATAGTAAAGCAGGGGTTACTAACCTCATTCAGGGGTAGCTTGGCAGCTTGTGCGATCTCAGCGAATGTAAGACTCCGATTGTTGGCTGGCCGTGTGAACGTCATCTCCATCAGACAGAGAAGCGAGATCTTCTGCCTCAAAGGAAGCTCACTGGTTGCAAGATCAGGCTGCAAACAGATCATCAGAATTTGATTATACAGTAGGCTTGCGGATGCACCATGTGAGAGAGAGGGGAGGATTGAGGAGTCCTGAAAAGGACTGTTGGTGTAGACTTGAAAAAGACTGTTGGTTTCTTAGCTTTTTAGAACTATAGCGCTTGGACAGGATGGGTGGCGGAAGTGGCTCGACGTTTCAAACAGGTTGACTATCCGTCTTCAGGAGACGACTTGGATTGGATTATTACACATTGGTTCTTTTGAACAGCATCTACTTTACTGTGGATTAGCAAAACAACTAAAAACAGTGAGTTTCACAAAAACTTATTATCACAGATTTCTTTTCAAGGTACTGTTATTTTAATACAGGTGAACTGATTATTCAGTATCTATTTCAGTAAAGACTTAAATAGTGCATTGAGATTGTAAAGTGATTTCCAAGCATAATATTGCATCCTCGTACCTAAAATCACTTAACAATCTCACTTCACTATGTCATTCTTTACTCAGAGCCACAAATACATGTGGGTTTCCTATGTAAGTGGGACACGAAAAATGTCACCAAGTGGGTCCCTAATTTATGGAATTACCCATGTAGGATCAATGTGAGGCACTACAAGAGCATTTCAGGCTCCTTCTTTCTTTGCGGGAGGTTGGGGGTAAAATATGGCATACATACCTGCTGTTTCCATACTTGTGCCATGGATTCAAATTGATCTAGATTGCCACGGTTGAATGCAAAGAGAAGGTCAACCAGCCAGGTTTTGTCGGTGGTTCGTAGGGACTCCAGCACAGGATGGGCCAACTATAGGGAGAGAAGAAGAGAAAAGGGGGCAGGGAGAGAGAGAGAGAGAGGGGGGAGGGGGAGAGAGGAGGGAGAGAGAGAGGGGGGGGGGGAGAGAAGGGGGGAGAGGGGGAGAGAGAGGGAGAGAAAGAGATAGAGAGAGAGGGGGGAGGGAGAGGGGGAGAGAGACGGAGAGAGAGATGAGTGGAAGAGAGACAGGAAGAGAGAGGGAGAGAGATACAGTAATTTGGGGCAGGCATCTGTACAAACTTTCTCTTTGGACATGGCGATATATGACTTTCCTCAAATCAACATTTTGTCAACGTAACTTGGCCTTAATCATTCAAATGATTTGAATGAGTGTTCTCTTGAGCTTACCAGTTTACTCAAATCACCCAATCAGGATTAAGATTTATGCGATCATTCCTGAACAGCTACATGTAGATCCTGATTGGAGGACTGTTACTTGCACCCAATAACAAATGATTTGAAGCAGTGCTCTCTTGAGCTTACCAGATCACTAAAATTACCCAATAAGGATCAAGATTCATGCCATCATTCTTGAACAGCTAGATCCTGATTGGAGGACTGTTACTTGTACTCAATAACATGATTTGAAGCAGTGCTCTCTTATGCTTACCAGTTCCCCACATTACCCAATAAGGATCAAGATTTATGCCATCATTCTTGAACAGCTACATGTAGATCCTGATTGGAGGACTGTTACTTGCACTCAATAACATGATTTGAAGCCGGGCTCTCTTATGCTTACCAGTTCACCCACATTACCCAATCAGGATCAAGATTTATTTTTATGCCATCAATCTTGGTGGATCGGTACTTGCACTCAATAACAAAATGATTTGAAGCAGTGCTTTCTTGAGCTTACCAGATCACCAAATTACCCAATCAGGATCAAGATTTATGCCATCATTCCTGAACAGCTAGATCCTGATTGGAGGACTGTTACTTGCACTCAATACTAAATAATTTAATGCAGTATTCTCTTGTTGCTTACCAGTTCACCAAAGTTATATACTCCATCTCCAAGAAGAGCTGCTAGCCCAAGATTGAATGCACGTTCTCTCCTCTCCTCCTCTGTCAAGATTAATCAGGGAATAAAAAGTGAGGAACTGTTAACAACTGTAATTCAGAGTTTTCTAAATAAAAGCTCTAAATCAGGGGTTCTCAAACTTTTTTTTCTTGACGGTCCAGATGTGATTTCCTTGAAAGATCAAAGATCTGAAACAATGGTCAAATCTAGTTTAATCTAAGGGGAATTGTTACAGGCAATTGTTTTAGTCTACGCAGTACCCATGGTACCCTATGGTCGAAATTATGTAAACATGGTCTCAAAAGATAGCGGGCAGGTGGATTCTGCCCCCTGCCCCCCATCCCCCCCCCCCCTTGCCCTTTTAAGGTTTAAAAAAAAAAAGTCTTCCGGTCGTCCGGATTGACATGCCCCACGGTCCAGACTTTGAGAAACCCTGCTGTTAATGTATCAGCTTTTCCTCAACACCACCACACCCCCATCATCATCATCATCATCTCTTTCTATTTTGTGTCAGTCTGATGTTCATATCGTCTGTGCGGCAGGGCTATACAGAAGTATCATGCTGTGTTTTTTTATGTTACACTGAAATGTGAAACCACAAGATTGTATTGTAAGTGTGAAACAATATGATTTTTCATTATTTTTCTGAAAAACAATGTAACGCATATTTTGTAAATCATTGTGTTTTCTGACCAATAAAACTTATCAAGTTAAAAAAGAAAAATAATATTAACAATGTTACCATTATTACTTACCCCCTATATCCTTAATGTCTAAGCATCCCAGATATCTCAAGGCATCCCGATAGTAGAGGGCATGGTTACCGGTCACCTTGTAATAGTTACTGGACAGGTCATAGAACCTGGCATGGACAGTGGTCACTCCATCGTAGTTGTCCAAGATCTTCTGGACTTCTTCGACCTTGACCTATGGATATCAAAAGGAAAGATTAAAGATAAAGTTTAGTTCTGGTCATGCGATTGCATCGTGAAAGAAACGGTGTGGTATCGATCAGAAAAAGTTGATCATGTAGCTTATAAATATTAATGTGTACTGCAAGGTTCTGGAGTCATCAAAATGATAAGACTTTTGGCCCAGTCTTGGTTAAAAGTAACAAGCACTGTACACAGAAAGATGAATATGGGACTACACAACCATGTGGCATAAAAATCGGGCCTCACTTTTAAGCTGTTTCTTGTCATATTTAGAGTATGAAGGCATTGAAAGAGCCATGCCTTTCACAGAACATTTTTTCTAAGTTGTTTTTCCACACTTGCATAATAACAATGATAACACTCACAAATTATTTTCACCTCTCCCCAGAACTCAACATTCTCTTTAAAATGTTTATAAGAGACCTAAACAAATTGGGCTTTTCAAACAGAGGTGAGGTGAGGGGTGCTCTTGTAGTTGGTACTGGAGGGTTTTTCACAAAACTTGCCATCAGTGACAAATGACAGTTTTTGTTATAAGCTACTGAAATCCCTGCTTCTGATTGGTTATCAGCAGATTTGTCATTGAAAAAACGCTTTGTGAAACACCCCCTGGACAGATCACAAAAACATGCATGGACAGTAGCTACTCAATCACTTATCAACGATCTTCTAGGAATATCATTAGAACACAATGAAACAGTGTTGTCAAAGTTGACTTAATCCAATGCTCGACATTAACAGGCCCTGAGGCTGGGGCACATAGGAGCCCAAAATCTAAATGTTGTCATTTTTACATAAGGCTCATGCATATACCCTGTAAAAAGTTCAATCCAATCCCTCTTCCAAAAAAGAATAATATGGAACCCTGCTTAACCGAGCAAGCTACAAGTACAATAGGCCTGTCTTCATCAGACCTATGTTGCAAAATAACCAGCTATTTTCAGAATCATGATATTTTCCCGAAACTCAAAAATTGCGCCTTCACCAGACCAAGACGCTCATCACAAACTAGCGCAAATTATTTTGGAAACAAGACCAACATTTCTCAGGATATTTTCTCAACCACACAGCCGGCTAATTGCAACTGTGGGCTGATGAAGACGCACGTTAGCTGGCTGATTTGAGATCGGGCTGGTTAAAATAGCGGGTTATTTTGCAACGTCGGTCTGATGACGACAGAACTAGTGTCGTTGCATGGTACTGTACCTTAGTTCCTTCGAGGTCGTTGACCTTGAGCTTCATCATGCCACCTACTGTCAGACATAGTATCCCAGCCTGGTCGGTAGCCTTGACCTTTTCATAGATCTTCTCAATAAAGGTCAACGCTTCAGTGTAATCTGAGGGGAAGATAAAAAACAATATGATGAAAATGTACTACATTCATTGCAGACCTGTCAACCTCCGGAATTCAAAAACTGTATTCTTTAATCCCAAAAGTTATATTTTACTGACAAAAGTTGTATTCTTCAAAATAAACATGGACTGTTAGGGGATCAATGCCTCTTACAGTTCCTACATACAGGAAGAATTTTTGTATGGATCATTGGTTGAATATGCATGAACCATTGAACATCCCTAAATTGTTGATGTGACCTGCTTGACATGACAGAATGGGCATTTTTTGTTGTTGAAAATCGTATTTTATTGAGGAAAATCGTAGTCGTATTTGCTTCTAAAAATCATAAAAAATACAGACTAAATCGTACTGGTTGGCAGGTCTGTCATTGTATGTGGCATCTTGATGTAAAAATGAAAGAGGTTACGGTAACTTATTTATACAGTTATACATTTATAAAAAGGTTTGTAATAAGAAATACAAAAATCCAATGACGACTATGGTTTCACATAAAGACTATCCATTCTTAAATGTGTAAAAGTGTGATCACATACAAATTAATTAAAACCCTATTAATTTTTTGTTTATGTATCATACCTGGTACTTGTTTGACTATAACAGTTGCAAGCTCGGCTAACGACAGAGGGTTGATTCTGTGCTCAAAGTCTGACAGGAAGTTTTCATACAGCTATCAAGAGGAGAAAAGGACATATGCCAAATTATAAAATATATAAATGAAAGTAGAGCTGGCATATTAAAAGCAAGGCTTGTGACTGCCGACGTATATATGCAACCCACAATCAGTTATGAAGCCCCACAATCAGTTCATGAACTTGATGTTATATGTTTGAATCCAAAATCATGCAAATAGAATAATCATAATAGGCATTTCCAGGCGCCGTCTATCTAGAAATTCTATTCCGAGGCACATTTATAATACCCCAGCTTTAGCCTAGCTGCCATTACAGCTAAGGCTGCGACGGGTAGTTGAATGCTCGAGTACCCGCACGGTTGACAACTACTCGGGTACGATTTCTCGTATCCGAATATTCATCCGCAAAAAAAAAAATGTCCAGGCCCACGCTTACCCGTGCCAGGGAGAGCGGTGGCCGCTGGCATGGTACTGTTGGTAAAAATGTTTCCCAACTCAAACACTGTCAAACTCACCTTTCAGAAACTGGGACCAAATGTCCAGATTTCTGTTTGGACTTGGAGGAAAATGGATTATTCTGCCATCTTTGGTTTTTAAAACAGCATTGTTTACTGTTATTATTCTTATTAAATCGGCGCCTTTAACTGCAACTCAAAGTAAAATTGCATGTGTTTTCGGCAAGGGACCTGGGAAACTGCCGAGTGGTATGGTAGTGGCAAAAACAAAAAACAAAAAAACAAAAAAAAATCAAAAAATTAAAAAAAAATTATAAAAAAACATGGCGTCCGAATATTCGAGTATTCGCTTGTGAGCCTGGGAGTGTATTCGGGTACCTTATTACACCGTTGTGCACAGCTTTAATTACAGCACTCCAGCATTTCAAGGAATTAATTCCTGTCAGGTACCCATTTACATCACCTGGGTTGAGAGTGGCAAATGTAGATCAATGTCTTGCCAAAGGACATGTGATTGCCTTGTGATCGACAATCCGGCGACGTATCCACTCGCCCACGACACCTCTATGTTATATTTTTGATTAAAACTAGGAACTTTTGTGAGCATGCAATTCTATGATTCTGTTTGTGCTTGTTTAGCATTTATTGAAAATTTTATGGAGGGAAACCATTCAGAAAAAGACACTTAGAAGATGCTAAAAAGGACCGTACAATATGAAAAGTAGTGACTGGTGAGTTGTTCTTTATAGGAGAATTGTTATTGACCTGCCAACAGTCAAATAACTGGGGAGACTTAACCCTGTAAACGATCATCGGATCGGCCGCTGATACCGATCCGATCAGGGGTGATCGGGGAAAAATTTCCGATCGCCGATCAATTAAAATGATCGGAAAAAAATCGGCAATTTTTTTTTTTTTTTATTTATTTTTTTATTACGAAAATTTTCAAGTTTTTGGCTGTCAAATGCTCAAAAAAAGTTCATGGCTGGGATTATTTTGTCATTTGGAGTTGTTGTAGACAATGATTGTTGATATTTAGTGCCTTTTCATGACTTTGAAATTAATAATATTGGTCTAAGAGCAGAGGCAAAACATGCGGGCCGCCATCTTGGATTATAATGTAGTCTAGGTTTGTTTCGTTTTTTTAATGACGAAAATTTTCAAGTTTTTGGCTATCAAATGCTCAAAAAAAGTTCATGGCTGGGATTATTTTGTCATTTGGAGTTGTTGTAGACCATGTTTGTTGATATTTAGTGCCTTTTCATGACTTTGAAATTAATAATATTGGTCTAAGAGCAGAGGCAAAACATGCGGGCCGCCATCTTGGATTATAATGCATAGAGGTCTACCTACATTATAATTCAAGATGGCGGCCTGCATGTTTTGCCTCTGCTCTTAGATCTAGACAAACATGGTCTACAACAACTCCAAATGACAAAATAATCCCAGCCATGAACTTTTTTTGAGCATTTGATAGCCAAAAACTTGAAAAATTTCGTCATTTAAAAAAAAAAAAAAAAAAAAAAAAAAAAAAAAAAAAAAATCGGCTGATTTTTTTTGTCGCTCTTCCGATCCGATACCGATCAAAGGTGCGAGGGTGTCGCTCCGATCTTCCGATCCGATCAGAGCCCCAACTTACAGGGTTGTGGGGAGTGTTTCACAAAGATTGAGATTGACTTTAAGTTGGACTTTACTATGGCAGGCCGTTCATGCCACTGTTTGCTCTCATCATTGTTGAACAAAAAAGTCTTAAATATAACTTAAATATTACCATGTCAGTTAGTCTTTTTCTTTAACAATGAACTATCGAAAAATGTAAGTTCTGTACATTTGTGACGTCCCTTGAGAGATCAATGATGAGAGCAACTAGTGGCATGAACAGCCTGCCATAGTTAAGTCCAACTTAGTCTTTGTGAAACACCCCCCAGAAATCCACAGTCCATGTTTGAGATGTTGATTGTTTTACTTACCTTGAGTAGTCCGTCTCCCTGAGCAAACTGTTCATGGTTCACGAAGTCTAAGAGTTTGACTGTCAGCTGATGCCATAACCTGAAATTGGAATAAGAAGGAAAAGTTTCTGAATCTGAACCTAACTATTTCACAGATCTCATGCAAAAAAAGAATCAACGGCTGAACCTCCCTACTTAGCTGATCAAAAAAATGGGGGGAACGGTATTTTCAAACTACAATAGCTTGTGATCTCTTGGGGCTAGCGAAAAAACAAGTGCATGGTTTGAATCCTTATGACTGGGACTATAATCGATCAAGCCTTCATTTCTAAAAAGTGGCAAATTTCGGAGCTAGGAAAGTAAGATGCAAACAACGTTTAAATCGCTGTTTTGACCAAGATGTTTTTAGAATTCTGAGATGACATCCCGTTGGAAATATGGAGATTAATCTGCTCTTTCATATGACACCTCATTTATTGAGTATCACCTTCAGGATCACAACAAATGTTTGAATCTCGTTTTGTTCATAAAAACTTCGACCAATTTTGCATGATCGCGCAATGCACATAGAGTAGACTGCATTGGGATGCATGCAATCTCTATGGGAAGGATTTTAGGATACAACATCTGGTGCGCGATCCTAGACCCCTACCATAAAAAATAAGGTAGATCTAGATCTAGACCTAATAGGGTGTCTGATCGCGCACCCAATGTTGTGTGCTAAAACCCTTCCCATAGAGATTGTACGCTTCCCTATGTGGTCTACGTGCATTGCGCGACCATCCAAAATTGGTCAATGATTTTATGAAGAAATTTGAAATTCAAACCTTTATAACAAATGATCCTGAAGGTGAAACTCAATAAATGAGGTGTCATATGAAAGAGCAGGTTTTTCTCCATATTCCCCATCGGGGGCCACCCCCAGAATTCTAAAAATATCTTGGTCAAAACAGCGATTGAAATGTTGTTTGCATCCTAGCTCCAAAATTTGCCACTTTCCTGAGCTGCCGCCCCGCGGCTTAAGCAGGGCTAGACGTAAGGATAATATCCAGATGCTTTTTTTTTCGCTAGCCCCAAGGGATCATTTGTTATAACAGTTTGAAAATACCCTTCCCACATTTTTGGAATCAGCTAATTAGGGAGGCGTGAGCTCCGCTCAGTCCAAACCATGGTTACATCGCGTAACATGTGCGCTTATAGTGAATGAAAGTATGGGTGGCTGTTCCCGCCATAGAACCCGGAAGTGAATACACGTTGTAGTCAATGGCAATATCGCGTAGAGTTGTCTCGGCGATATTGCCATTGACTACAACGTGTATTCACTTCCGGGTTCTATGGCGGGAACGACCACCCATACTAGTCAATGGCACATATCGCGGAGACAGCGTGGCTCAAGCTTGCAAGTCGCGCATTGGCTGAGCAACTTGCGTACGATATGCATACGCTTGCATATCGCGCGATACAGCTGTTTGGCTAAATTTAGCAAAACAACATAACTCTGCGTGTAGAGTAAAGTAGCCCGTTTTCGGCCACTTAAGACAAAATCCTATTTTTAGGACTCTTTACTTCCTATTTATTATCATTTCTTGTTCAAATCATGAAGCAAATATTATTATTATTTAAACAAAAAAAGAATCCCAGAAAAAAATCACGAATTGCCATGACAATATTCATTTCAATTTTCACTGTTTTGGAGCCCGTTATCGGCCGAGCGTTTCAGTTTACAGCCGCATGTACAAAGTCAATAGGAAGCGCTCGCGCGCGCCGTGCGTTTTCGCGCTGATGTACAGCACAAGCGGGCGGAGCAGGTATCCCACGCCGGAGCTCCCTGGTGCTCGCCTGGCCGAAGACAGGCACAGCGGTGATCGGAAGTTGGAATCTGAATTAGACAGAGATATCGTGTGTGCGTCGCGGTGTGCGGCTGCATTGATTTAATACATGCGATGACATACTTTTGAGCTTGCGACTAGCACAAAATCGGGCTTTAAATCTGAAAAATACTTGAAATAAAGCTCATTTTATGGTACCCATATTTCTTACAGACACGCGTAAGATACTCGATTTTTCAGATTTGGGTAGCGGGACCGGCGATTACATCGCTAAAATGTGATATTTTAGGATATATTTTCCATTGCAAATGTGGTTCTTCAGTGACACTGGCATAGTATGGTATGTGTGGGATATGTGTTATGCTATTATGTGATGTATTTTAGAGTGATTTTACCTTGTATCCAACCAATCGGCCGAAAACGGGAGCTGGCCGATTACGGGCTCCTTTACTCTACGTCTTTTTCGTCGATTCTGAGCAAAATGCTATGAATATTTCAGCATTTTGAAGGGGCTGTATCTTTTGATAGAAACATCGGCGAGACTTGAAATTTGAAATGTATTATTCTGATTACATTTTTAATTCAAATATCAAACAAAAATGGTGAAAAACGATCCCAAATTGAAAATTGAAAAATCGTTCAGACACCCTAGAGTAAAGTAGCCCGTTTTCGGCCACTTAAGACAAAATCCTATTTTTAGGACTCTTTACTTCCTATTTATTATCATTTCTTGTTCAAATCATGAAGCAAATATTATTATTATTTACACAAAAAAAGAATCCCAGAAAAAAATCACGAATTGCCATGACAATATCCATTTCAATTTTCACTGTTTTGGAGCCCGTTATCGGCCGAGCGTTTCAGTTTACGGCCGCATGTACAAAGTCAATAGGAAGCGCTCGCGCGCGCCGTGCGTTTCCGCGCTGATGTACAGCACAAGCGGGCGGAGCAGGTATCCCACGCCGGAGCTCCCTGGTGCTCGCCTGGCCGAAGACGGGCACAGCGGTGATCGGAAGTTGGAATCTGAATTAGATAGAGATATCGTGTGTGCGTCGCGGTGTGCGGCTGCATTGATTTAATACATGCGATGACATACTTTTGAGCTTGCGACTAGCACAAAATCGGGCTTTAAATCTGAAAAATACTTGAAATAAAGCTCATTTTATGGTACCCATATTTCTTACAGACACGCGTAAGATACTCGATTTTTCAGATTTGGGTAGCGGGACCGGCGATTACATCGCTAAAATGTGATATTTTAGGATATATTTTCCATTGCAAATGTGGTTCTTCAGTGACACTGGCATGGTATGGTATGTGTGGGATATGTGTTATGCTATTATGCGATGTATTTTAGAGTGATTTTACCTTGTATCCAACCAATCGGCCGAAAACGGGAGCTGGCCGATTACGGGCTCCTTTACTCTAGAGTAAAGTACCCGGTAATCGGTCAGCTCCGGTTTTCGGCCAATTGGTTGGATACATGGTAAAATCACTTCAAAATACATCGCATAATAGCATAACACATATCCCACACATACCATACCATGCCAGTGTCACTGAAGAACCACATTTGCAATGAAAAATATATCCTAAAATATCACATTTTAGCGATGTAATCGGCGGTCCCGCTACCCAAATCTGAAAAATCGAGTTTCTTACGCGTGTATGTAAGAAATATGGGTACCATAAAATGAGCTTTATTTCAAGTATTTTTCAGATATAGAGCCCGATTTTGTGCTGGTCGCAAGCTCAAAAGTATCTCATCGCATGTATTAAATCAATGCAGCCGCACACCGCGACGCACACACGATATGTCTGTCTAATTCAGATTCCAACTTCCGATCACCGCTGTGCCTGTATTCGGCCAGGCGAGCACCCGGGAGCTCCGGCGTGGGATACCTGCTCCGCCCGCTTGTGCTATACATCAGCGCAGAAACGCACGGCGCGCGCGAGCGCTTCCTATTGACTTTGTACATGCGGCCGTAAACTGAAACGCTCGGCCGATAACCGGCTCCAAAACAGTGAAAATTGAAATGAATATTGTCATGGCAATTCGTGATTTTTTTTTTTTGATTCTTTTTTTGTTTAAATAATAATAATATTTGCTTCATGATTTGAACAAGAAATGATAATAAATAGGAAGTAAAGAGTCCAATAAATAGGATTTTGTCTTAAGTGGCCGAAAACCGGGTACTTTACTCTAGACCTAATTTCATAATTTGCAAGGCAATATCATACATTACAATTAGTGCTGTAACATCACGGATATCTCCAATTCCGTTTAACCGCCTGTCAAAACCGGACGGTTTTCGGTTAAACGATTTATTAAAAAAATAAAAAATAAAAAAAAAAAACATTTTTTTTTTTTTTTTTTTTTTTTTTTTTTTTTGTCCGTGTGAAAAAGCTGGAAGGTAATTTAACTGAAGGCGCCGATTTGTGCTTGTGAACTAGTCACAAATAATAGTAACAATGTCGTTTTAGAATAATGTGTAAGATCATTAAAGTAAATTCAAAAATAGTAGAGGACCTAGGATAGAACCTTGTCGTACACCATGTGTTAAACTTGGATGAATATATATTGAGATCTATTACAAAGATTACTTTCAAACCAAGATGACAGACAAATTGGAGTGTTGTTCTAGTTTCCAAGTGGTAAGTCATCACACCGATTACTGAGCTGGGAGACATTGCCAGGCATAGTGCCAGGTGGAGGGGCATAAATCAAAACTTTAAAAAAAAAAAAAAAAAAAAAAAAAAAAAAAAAAAAAATTATAAAAAAAAAAAAAATTATAAAAAAAAAAAAAAAAAACGGGTAAACGAAACCGTCCAATTGCAAACGGAATCCGCCATGGGCGGTCGGATACCGGACGGTTAAACGTTTGACTACAGCACTAATTACAATCAGTCGGTACTGCTTCTTACCTACAATTTTGAGGATATCTGCTCTCAAAATGAAGATTTCCAGACGGTAGGTTATTAATTTTTCAGAACGGACGCAATCGCAAATGACCGCAAAATTTGCTGATCTTTTGTCAATATTTTAATAATTTCACACCCGATTCCATAGAAAATTCAGTCTGTGGGTAATGTTATGTTCCTCTTTCCATTGGTGATTCCAGATTTTCGAAATCTTACCAATTTTTTGAGATAGCGAACTATGGTCGAACCGCCATAGTACTAGGGTGTCTGAACGATTTTTCAATTTTCAATTTGGGATCGTTTTTCACCATTTTTGTTTGATATTTGAATAAAAAATGTTATCAGAATAATACATTTCAAATTTCAAGTCTCACCGATGTTTCTATCAAAAGTTACAGCCCCTCCAACACGCTGGTATATTCATATCATTTTGGTCAAAATCGACGAAAAAGACGTCCACGCAGAGTGATGTTGTTTTGCTAAATTTAGCCAAACAGCTGTATCGCGCGATATGCAAGCGTATGCATATCGTACGCATGCTGCTAAGCCAATCCGCGACTTGCAGCTTGAGCTACGCTGTCTCCGCGACATGTGCGATTGACTAGTATGGTTGGCGTTCGTCGCACAATAAACCCGGAAGTGAATGCACGTTATAGTCAATGGCAATATCGCGGAGACAACGCACGTTGTCTCCGCGATATTGCCATTGACTATAACGTGTATTTACTTCCGGGTTTATCGAGGGAATTGCCAACCATAATTTCAGTCACTATAATTTGGGGTTTCGTTCGTGCGCGGAGATGTTACGCGATGTAACCATGGTTTGGACTGAGCGGAGCGCACGCCTCCTAATTAGCTGATCCACCAAATAGCGAGAAGGGTATTTTTAAACTGTTATCAGTTGTGATCCCTGGGGGCTAGCGAAAATATAATCACATAGAATTGTTCCTTAGGACTGGGACTACTTATCGATCGGGGCGTCATATCTCAAAAGTGACAAACCTGAGAGTTAGCCAGGACACAATGTTTAAATTGCTGTTTTGACCAAGATATTTTTAGAATTTCGGGGGCTACGCCCCTTTGGAAATATTGGAATTCACCTGCTCTTTCATATGACACCTCATTCATTGATTATCACCTTCAGGATCACAACTGATAAAGGTTTGAATCTCGATTTGAAAAAAAAAAATTGACTTTTTTTGCATGGTCGCGCAATGCACGTAGGCTGCATAGGGATGCGTGTAATCTCTATGGGAAGAATTTTAGCACACAACATCGGGTGCGCGATCAGACACCCTAATAGTACTAGTAGTAGGGGTGACCGTAAACTCCTCCCAGAATTTCCCTATTGATACTGCACTGAACTCTCAACTCATTCAGCTGACTCATGACCACACAACACTTTCAGACACAAAACCTTTTCAATCTTCAACAAATCCACTCATCTCGAAATTACTCACTTTTTATTATACAGTTCTTCGATCTCATTCCATGTTTCTGCAACATCTGCGCTGGCTTGTCTCTTCTGTTCCGCTAGATAGCCCGAAACATCCCTCATTTTGATATGTTTTGTTGGAGCTAGCACTTTTAGCAGTAGATCTACAATGATTTGGATGATGTCTACCTGCGCTGGGCCGCGATATAACGTGCATAATTCATGTACAGAGCGAAGTAATGATCACACAAAAGGTCATCAGCGAAATCTATACACAAAAATATGCCCGTTGAGGGCGTCTTCTTCTTCTGGAGGACATACGTGTATGATCGAATCTCTTTGTCTGGTTGAAATTAAGCATGTATTATCCATTCGGAAATTTCTTTTTCACTGGTAGAAGCCCGCCCCCCCCCCACTCAGTGTTATTTAGGGTACGCATATGCTCGTTCCCTCTTTTTGAAAGCACCCCCTATCTGAGGACTGCCAACATTTCCGAACCCCCCTTTCGCGGGCTTTTTGCGGGGTTTTCCTGCCTTGGAGACCCCCCTAAACCATGAAAAATGCTCAATGTACCCCCCTAAATTCGGAATAATTTCTCAGGAGTCCAAAGAGACGAGAGAAAAAAAAAATCACCCCCTCTTTAAAGAAATCTCCGGGTGAAAAGATAATACACCCCTTTTTTTTACAATTCTCGGGCCGGACTTTGTCGCACGAAAATTACCCCTTTACCGGACATTTTGGTAACACGCATGGGGTCATTCCGACCCCTGAGTGGGGGGGGGGGGGGGGGGGCGGGGGTAGAAGTTTACAAATCAATTTACAAAAAGAAATAATAATAGTCTTAGACAGTTACGGTTGTGATAAAATACGCTCGTCAAAGCATTAGTTGAGTAAGGTACATGGAATAGTTTGTCACCGATGAGGATTACGATAATAACAATAATTATAATATTGATGATGATAATAATGGTAATAATAATCAATTTTACAAAAAGAAATAATAATAGTCTTAGACAGTTACGGTTGTGATAAAATACACTCGTCAAAGCATTAGTTGAGTAAGGTACATGGAATAGTTTGTCTTCGATGAGGATTACGATAATAACCAGTGGCGTAGACAGGTTCGTACACCTGGGGGGGATGACTCAGGGGCGGATCTAGCTTTTTGCTAAGGGGGGGGGTTGACCAATAATGACGATGCGGAGCATCGTCCACGAGCCGCGAAGCGGCGAGCCGATTTTTTGGGGGGTGTTTATTTGAACCCCGTAAGTGATGTTTTCCTGGCATCTATTAACACAATGGAGACCATAAAAAGCAGTGCATGATAACGTCTTTTTAAATCAAGTAACAGTTAAATACACAGTTATATCCAGAGTTATCATGTGTTTGGTTAAGTTACCAGATGAGTTGAATATCTTCTCACAATATTTGCACTTGAAAGGGTTTCTCTCCAGCGTGCGTTCTTTTTTCTTTCTTTCTTTTTTTTTTTCTTCTTCTTTTTTTTTTTTTTTTCTTCTTTTTTTTCTTTTTTTGTTTGTTTGTTTTTTGGGCCGCCCAAGGGGGGTTTAAACCCCCTAAACCCCCCGTAGATCCGCGCCTGTTTAATCTTGTGGTTATCTTGTGGTTTCCAAACCACAAGATAACCACAAAATACTTGTAAGATTTTCTTTTTTTTTACCGTCTGAATTGGCTTTCACCGTGTGAATACGGCTAATAACAATAAACACAATTACAATAATGATGAGGATTATTATTATCATCATCATAATTATTATTATTATTAATATTATAATTGTTATCATTATTATTATTACTATTATTATCATCATTATGACTTATTAAGTAAGCAAATATCATTCCCCAAAACCTGGGGGGGATGATTGTACATGCCATCCTCCCCACCTTGTGAGCTGGGGGGGATGCATCCCCCTCATCCCCCCCGTTGTCTACGCCCCTGATAATAACAATAATTATAATATTGATGATGATGATAATAATGGTAATAATAATAATGATAATAATACCAACAATAACCATAATGATAATAGTAATGCCTCCCTCTTCACTTTAAACGGAGAGCGTACAGTAAACCCCTGGCCCCATACTCCCCCTCCCCCATAATAGCTGGCATGCACGTAGCCAGGGGGCGATGGGGCGGTCGACCCCCCCCCCCCCCCAAAAAAAAAGGAAACATAGACACATTTTCTAAAATTCAGACAAGGGAAATGTCAAAAGGGGGAAACTGAACGGTACAGCAAATAAATCGTCTTGTTTCTCTTATAATTTAATGAAACATCAAAACTTCCGCGCTTCGCGCAGGAGGGGGAAACTCCCCCCCCCCCACCGGCCCACCCCGATAGGGAGCGCGCTTCAATACCGCCCCCCCCCAAAAAAAAAAAAAAATAAATAAATAAATAAATAAATAAATAAATAAATAAATAAATAAATAAATAAATAAATAATAAATAATAATAAATAAATAAAATAAAAAATAAATAAAAAATAAATAAATAAATAAATAAATTTAAAAAAATAAAAATAATAATAATAATAACTAGATTTGTAATACTTGTTTGGAACAAGTATAGGTGGGCTGATCCAACGCAAAATTGAGACAAAATGAAGGGTACATTTGAGATAGCTTTTTGTCTCAGCTACAACATACTAGAAGTTCAGCGTAAATGAAGCTAAAACGACGTAGATATTGCTCGCGAAAGACAGGAATGTAGAATCAAGTTTTGAGAAAAAGTCATGTCCCATAGAGAATACACGCAAAATGTGAAAAATTGACATGCCTCCTTTAATCGCCCAAAAAAGCCATGATGCCTTTGTCAAAATGAAAAATTGTGCCAGCCACATTAATTTTGTAGAACATTGTCTCAGGTAGAACATATCAAAATTTGGAAGAAAATTGATCAATATTTTTAGAGATACAATCAATTTTCAAAAAATATGCTGACATCATAATATGCAAATTGAAATTTTGAGTTCGGAGGCCATTATGATGACGTCATGAGTTAATTGAAGGTCAAATGAAACATGAAATCATATCGCCAATTTATTCTCTATCAAAATATGAAAACAAAATTGGGGTCACCTTGCAGCCTAAAGAGCTACAATGGATTTTGTACAGGCATGTTTTTGCCCATATATGCTATGTATTACAAGAGCTCGCGCGCACGGAGATTTTTGTTAAACGGTCGATCATTCCGTTATTAATAGTCATAAAGAGACAAACATGGTACCAGTGGCGGATCCAGGGGGGGGGGCCCGGGGGGCCCGGCCCCTCCCCCCCTTGAGAAAAAAAAATCATGTAAAATCACGTGATTTTTACCTTTTTGGGGGGTTGGGCCCCCCCCCCCCCCTGGCGCTCATGGGGGGGGGGGGTGCAAATTGAAATTTTTTTGAGGATCAAAAAAAAAAAAAATGTGCTCACTACCCCCCCCCCCCCCCCCCCCCCCCACTGAGCGAATTTTTGGCCGGCGCGTTTTTCAAATTTTCGGGAGCAAAAAAAAAAAAATTGTGCTATGTCATGTATGCCCTATCTGTGAAATTAAAACGTTATAGCAGTGTCCTAATATTCAAATTACGCAAGGAAACCCGTTTACTTGCCAGACTTCACTGTCAGACACTATTGAGTGACTGACTGGCTTTTTTTTCTTCTTTGGCAATAACATACATAAAATGAGCTGTAAAGCCCTTATGGAACAATCACAGTGTTACCACAGTGTGGTAACACTGTGATTTTGGGACATGTGGTAACACTGTGGTGTACTATGTGGTGCGTACCACAGTGTGGTAACGCTGTGGTATCGACTGCACCCCATAGTACACCACAGCGTTACCACATGTCCCAAAATCACATGTGGCCCACACTGTGGTACGCACCACATAGTACACCACAGTGTTACCACATGTCCCTAAATCACATGTGGCCCACACTGTGGTATCAACCACATAGTACACCACAGCATTACCACATGTCCCAAAATCACATGTGGCCCACACTGTGGTACCAACCACATAGTACACCACAGCGTTACCACATGTCCCAAAATCACATGTGGCCCACACTGTGGTATCAACCACATAGTACACCACAGCGTTACCACATGTCCCAAAATCACATGTGGCCCACACTGTGGTATCAACCACATAGTATACCACAGCGTTACCACACTGTGGTATGCACCACATAGTCTGGTAAACTGTGGCATCAATCCCAGATGATACAATTAATTAGTACTTTACGCTATAAGTAGCAATTGTACTAAATAATTTGGCAAGTGGCAACAAATAACACAGCATAACCGTGACTGGTTCATCTACAATTTCCAATGTAAAGGCATTGGTAATAAGTAGGATTGTTTAAGTGTCCCAAACTTTCCATATACTTGTATTTTATTGAATATATTTTAGTTCATAGTAAGTATTTCCCTAATTCATGTTTAATTAAATGTAATTTACACAAAGTAGTAAAATGTCCTAATAATTTGGTCATTTATATTTTCTAGTACTTTTGAAATGAATTGCATATAACTTAATCATCAGTAATTAAGAAATATGCTTTAAATTCAGATAAATTGTATAAAAACATAGATCTGCACGCACCCTATATTCATTATGAAAATTAACACATAGTGATTCATACCACATTGTGGTAAATATGTGGCACACTGTGTTAAATATGTAAGACTATGCGGGAGACAACATGTGATCGCAGAGTTTGCACGTAGTTAAATACATACCACACTGTTGCAAATATGTGTCATTGTGTGTGAAATATGACCGATTATGTGGTAAATCAAACCCCACAGTGGTAAATATATGTCAATCTGTGTTAAATATGTACGAATATGTCGTAAACCACATGATTTGAAACCAACACTGTGACTATACTGTGATCACAGAGTTTACACATAGTTCAGTACAAACCATACTGTGGTAAATATGTGTCACTCTGTGTTAAATATGTACGACTATGTGGTAAACCACATGATTTGAAGTCCACACTGTGAAAATACTGTGATCACAGAGTTTACACATAGTTCAGTACATACCACACTGTGGTAAATATGTGTCACTCTGTATCAAATATATAGGACTATGTGGTAAACATCATGATTTGAAACCCACACTGTGAAAATACTGTGATCAAAGAGTTTACACATAGTTCAGTACATACCACACTGTGGTAAA